AAAAAAAAAAAAAAAAAAAAAAAAAAAAAAAAAAAAAAAAAAAAAAAAAAAAACATTGGATCTAGAGTCCAAACTCTTAAAAACATCGACAAAAAAAAATACTCTTGATTCAATCGGATTTTTACTTAAATCAAGAACCAAGCCGCTTAATTTGAGCGGATTTCCTTTTGATTTAAGTAAAAATCTGATTGAATGAAGAGTATTTTTTCTTGGCAATGTTTTCAAGAGTCTGGACTCCACATCCAACGTGTTTTTTTCCCAGTGCTCATATTTTTCTAAAAGAAGATAAAACGGGCGTTTAACTTAAGACTTCTTGTGAGTTATCTTCATTGACTCTACAATATGCACAAAATTTTTCAAGGAGTTATTCAGCTTGGTTTTCTGCGAGACAAAATATTGCAACTTGAAGATTTCTAAAAATTGCCATAAAGATACGTATTTTCTAACTGCAGTCATCGATTCAAGTCAAATTTAAAGGGCGAATAAAACGGATTGTAGCTCTTCGTTGCTGTAAGTAAGAGGAGAAAATGAGCCTGGCGCTTCTGGAGGGGTAGTGAGCATCAATCAGATAAAGCATTGTATAACCAGTCGCAAAAGCAATAAAATTAACGGGTGCAATCTCTGCGCGCCGGTACCCTATAATTTTATTCGCGATGATCAATAGCATTACAGGACGTCGCAAATCGACGAAGTCCAAGCCGTGGAACGGTCATTTAATTGGCGGCATAGTTTAACTGGGGTTAATCGGGAGATCAGGGTACCTTGGGAATCGTGAGATAAGTAGAAATTAACCATCTGTTAATAGAGCACCAGCTCCAGCCGTTGGCTCAATGCAGGCGTTTGCTCAATGCATTGGTTATCTTGCCCTCATTTATGGTTTTGAATAGTGCTGTATACCGTTAAACGGCACAAAACAGCAAAGTTTAGCCTTTGATTATTTTATTTTTTGACAAAAGCAACTGTCGAAGCATTTCAAATTTTGGGCATGGAACCAAAATGCCGGAGATGTTATACAGAATGCATTAATGTATGTATCTCCGTGTTCTTTGCCGATTTTTTTTTCTTCATAGTTAGCATTTATTTTTTCCTACTAGCCCGTGACTGAAGTCACGGGTTTTGCTATGAATTATAATTTAAATAAATGTCCACTTCATCAGGGCCGGATTAACCTACTTGCCGCCCATGGGTCGCCTGTATTTTGCTGCCCTCTTCTCATTCATTTTGAAACATCAATAAAAACCATCAAGTGAACGTGCCGGAGAGGGAGAGGTGCATAAGACGCGTTTACTCGAGTCGGGCACATTTTTTTCGAAAGCCTTGTTAACACTACTAGCAAAAGTTCACGGAACTTTGAGCGAAAGTGAAGTTCCGTAAACCTACCTCTGTGTGGTCAAGGCCCTCCATTTATAAGAAATGAACGAAAAAATTATGAAGGAACAAACATAAATGTGGTTTAATAATTTTAACTTCCGCCGCCGCGCCACACTGACCGCACTGTTTGGTGCAATGCGTGAAGTATTCATGCAGTCTTGTGGGCGCTATGCGTTCCACGCCGACCGCTGCTGACCGCAGTATGTTTGACGCAATGCGTGAAGTATTCATGCAGTCTTGTAGGCGCGAATAAGTGTTACATGCCAACCTAGTAGGGCGGATAAGCATAACAATCGTGCATTTCTGGAAGAAAGCATGAAACTTTCAGGATATCATCTTTACTTATGGAAGGTTCAATTTCGCAAGTGAGCCCAAAATTCTGAGGCCATGGGGGCCGGGGGGGCAGGGGGCCCTGATTTCGCTATGTTTTGCCGAATTTTCGCGTTGGATCATCGTGAGAACGCCGTTAACAATGTAAAATGTGATCAAAACCTGTGTAAACGTCATTAATAGGTTCTCTCAAACAGTATCCTAAAATGCTAGCACTGTCCGATCCCGGAGCACCCCTCAAAATGCCTAAAATTCAAAATGGCGCCCATAATAAGGCCTCCGGAATATCGGTATTTTCACTTGTGCATATCCTGTCATNCGAGGCTCATCACAGATTGCACTTACCACTATCCTGGTGGCCCCGGCTATCAGAGCAAGGAGTACCAACTTTTGAAAAGGATAACAGTGTTGTGGAGATATGTCAAAGCAACGTTGTGAACAAAACGGAGTGAGTGAAATTCTCATTCAAGGAGTGCCGAACTGGTCAGCCATCCTCGAATCAGTTCGCTTGCTTCCGCTTATATATGCATATTTTAAATCAGCGCGCCCCATTCTAAGGTTTTTTTAAAAAAAACCAAGAAACGTAGACTCTTGGTATTCATTACACATAAACTAGCGAGCCCCAGAATGAGAAACAAATTTTAATCATTATTATTGACGGATTAGTAAACTTTTTACACGCTTTGGAAAATCTCAGAAGTTCGCGGTAGTCACTTTTCGGTAAGGAACTAGGGGACTCGGTTATTGTGGGGGGGGGGGGGTCGAAACGATCGCAAAGGCGGTATACTACGTATACGCGCCAAAAAACATCAGCGACTGATATTAATTTTTAATTTTTTGCGATTTCTACAGGGTTAGCGTTGCACCGCCAAATTACGTCCAACAGCAGCAAGCTCCAGTTCACGTTGCTAGTGCTGGTGTTGCGAACCGTGGGATCTACAATGGCACTCAGTACAACCCGTCACAACAGCAATTCGACTCGTATTACAATCTGTACAACGATGAATCGGAGCTGTATGGAGATGACGGTAAGATTCAGTTCTTTAATTTCATTTAAGACTCATACCCGAACATATGGAATCGAAGAGAAATATGTAGAGACTGGAGACGAAGTGCAAGGGCCCAAGTAGCAAAGTGCAACGAAAATATTGAAATAAAATTGCGATTTATTGCAATAAAATTGAAATTATTTAACATGAAATTGCAATATTTACATCATTTGGTCAATAAATGCCGATTTCAGAACGATAGGTACATTGAAAAATTGGAACTTATTTCAATTTCATTGCAAAAAAAAAACCATACGAAAAAAGATGTTAGATCATTCCAAAGACATAAAGACGGAGGGCTAAAAGCAAAAAATGAAGCTTCTTTTCAACCACCTCTACGATTGGCTATAGGATTGGCGGCGAAATCGGGACAAGTTTGAAATTCAAATGTAGGGCGGGAACTAAATAAAATTGCGGAAACAAAGTATTCTAGGTTGATTTTTGCCCCAATTCACTTACCCACTCATATTTTTTCAACTTTAGGTTAGTTTTGGTCCGTTGTCGACCGATTAATTTCATTTGGGAGTAACAGTCATCTAGAACTGTAACGGTCTGTTTGAACCTGCAGAACCACCATGAGCAGAAGAAAAACTAACTTTATCTGAGATTACTGCCTGTTACCGAGCAAAAGTAGGTGTATTATAATAGGACGCAGTCCCAACTTTCTTAATATATTCGTTTTAGGCATTTAAAATACGATTCGAAGAAGAAATGTGGAAAAATCAAGAGGACAAGTTCAAATCAAATTTCCGTTTGCCGCCATGGATTCCCGCGCTCATTTACACACTCACACAAGCACCCAGCACCAAACCAGGCTTCACTTTTTCCCCATGCTTTTAGATACGAGCACTCCGTCTTTATGTCTTTGGATCATTCGATTAACAGATAGGCAACACTCACAATACTCCGATGAAACAGCAATGATTTTATCATGTAATTGCAATTTATTGCAATATTGCAATTTGTGCTACATGGGCTGTTGTCGCTCGTGCGTTGACCACCCGTCATTTTGAATTTCGCGGGCAATCCATGACCATTATTTGAAAAAGTGCGCTTAAAAGCAACAGAGTGACTATTATGAACCAAAAAAGTTACTAGGAGGTACGCACCTTCGGACTCATTTATTCGCATTTTCTGAGAAAGAATATTGCTTTTGTTATTTTTTCAAATAATTTATGACAACTAAGAGAAAATATCTCTAAATAGCCATTCTCTTCGAAAAATAATAAATTTCGAGTTCAGTGGAATGAAAACTCATGAATTGGAGGTTGGGGGTACTGTTCATTCAGAATGTAAACAACAACCTCAAAACATAACCTCACAAGAAACACAGTGCGGTGTCCGTGTCAGTTCAAAAAGACTTACATTTAGTGTCAGGCGATATTCAATCAACGCAGACCAAGAAGTTGACAGTTATAGCTAAGGCAAAGTGATTTAAAATGATTTAGTGATCACAGGTGAAAAATAGAATATTACCTTGTCCCATAACCTAGACATTCTACGAGTGTCTAAAACTCATTTGAACTCCTGAAGTATCGTTCAAATCCACGGCTACAATTTTTATCATACCGACCATCCGTAGGATAAAGCCTGTAGTGAAACTGCTTACAAAAAGCCGTAGATAGTATAGCATTCTGGTGCTGTCAATGGAAAATAACATTAAATTCCCTGAAAAGTGAACAAGTCACATTTACTCTCAGACCTGAAAACTGCCCCCTAGTACTTTTGGATAATCAAGGTATTCTGCAAGCGGAGTCAGTCAGTGGGAGTACACTTGGACTGCAGACTCAACTGGAAAGAACACATTGACAAGAAGAAAGGACACTTAAACCACATACTCCGAAAATTTAACTGGCCTTTTCACAAACACTACACACTTTCCACAGCAAATAATTTGCTCATTTACAAATCTATCATTAAACCTGTCTGGATCTACAGTTGTCAACTGTGGGGAATCACCTCTGGAACAAGCATTAAAAGTGATTTAAAACCCAAAAAGACATAGTGTCAGGCGATATTCAATAAATGGAGACCAAGAAGTTGACAGGTGCAGCTACATCAAAGTGATTTCTAATGGATTAGTGATCACGGGTGAACAATTTTGATCCCCAAAAATTTACACAAATCAACGTTTTAGCTTATTATCAGCATAGTGTTGCGCCATATTTTCATCCCTTGTTAGACCTTGCAGAAGTTGTGCCCAAGGCGCAAGATTTTGACTTCCATAAGAGATATTTTTCCCACTGATTATTTTTGTGTCTACACAGGGCCTGAATTTTGCAAATGCACTTTATGCACACTAACTTCAGCTTTTATTTGAACAGAATTTTAGGATAAAATCTACACTTTTTATACCTACTTTACAATAGTCCGGTGACATGTTTAGATTTACACATTTAAGCTCAATGCCGTAATGTCACTCAGTCGGTCAAGTAGTATTGAACTTTGCCTAAATATATCACAGAAACCAGTTGATCGGCTTTCTTTTTAGTCAAGTCACATTTCAGGAGCCAAGTTTTTAAGAAAACTAGCAAACTTAAGTGACTCTCAAAAGACACAAGTTGGTTTAAAAAAATTCTCTTGCTGGCAAATTTTAGGGGGAAAAATTGCATCAAAATTTACCGTCACTGATTTACCTACTTATCTAACTCATCCGGTCCTCTCATTTGTATTAACTTCGTTTTATCCTTCTTTCAGACTATGGTCAGTACCATGTTTCTAGCAGAGGGAAACCACAAATTGAGATAGTACAACGTTTACCTGAGAAAAATGCTGTCGCGTACACTCCAGTTCAGTCTTACAAACAACAAGAGAATGCTTACACACCCAGCTACAAGACGCAAGGAAATGTTGCCTACACTCCATCATACAAACAGCAATCATCTGACATTTATAATGTTGATGATTACAATCAACAGTATAATTTGCAGGTAATGGTCTTTCTTCTTCAAAAAATCCATCTTCCGGATTTGTCATCATATCTTAATACAGCTTTGTAAAAGTTTTCATATATCCTAGTAATGTCCTTTCACGTATCCTAGTCATGTAAGTTGAAGCTGGAACAAAAGATGAGCTTATTAATCGAGTTTCTGGTGTTATTCACTCTGAAATTTTAAGCTTTCGTTATTTGCAGGCCTATCTCAGAGTTGGGACCATGCTTAAAGTGCTTAGGATCAATTAGACATATTATTTTCAATTGATTTATTTGTTTTATAACTCACTGATTCCTCCTGAAACCAAATTAAATCTACTGTTAAATAACATTTTCAGTCGAAAGAGTCTACTTGACATTTTTAAAGCGGAACTTTGAAAGCTCTAAGTTGGAAAATTAAAAGTACAGAAAACAGTCATTACAGTTGCGTACATATTAATTACTGGCCCAGTTAAAAATCTTTGTAGGAGGAGCTACCTCTACCCTATATATTTGCAATGAGTACAATGGGCTTTCAAATAATGTAGAAAATCAACTTGGATGATAAGAGATAAGAAATGAAGGATTTTTCCGGAAAAAATCATCCCTTACAATTGATATTTCTCAATTCCTACACAACAGCATTCAAATTAATGTAAAGTTTTGTAATTAGTATTTATAAATACCTATTGAGTTTTAAAAAGCAAGTAATTTGAATCAGGAGGGGGCTTTGTTGACTTTGGAAAAGAAATCCTCATACCTCTCGTGAGATCCCTCCGATGTAAAATGCTCATGGTTCATTCTTTTGTTCACCGTAGGGAGCTGATGATGATCTGAGCTATCAACCTGGAATCATCGCCAACAAACCATCCATCAGGTAAGGCTAATACATTGTTCTGATATTATCGGCATTAATATACATGATTATTTCCTCTAATCACACAGCATTAAGGTTTCAAACACGAGTTGCTTTTTAGAATTGTAGCTGCTTAATACTCCGTATTTGCACACTATGACTTAGTAGGCTTTTCTCGGAGGTTTTGATAATAGCAGTATCAACATAGTGTATATACAGGCGAGTTGAAATGAAATAAAGATTTGAATATTTTAATGTATTCTTGAATGAATTTTTAGAATGAGTCTATCTTCAGGAGAAGAATGTTCAAAAGAGATCTAGCAATAAAAGGATGCAAAGAACACAAAAGAAAGTCTTTAAATAGAGGGATACAAAGCAAAGTGAACCATAATGGGTTTTCTTTGGTTTTTTTCGAAAAAGCTAAATACATTTGACTTCTCATGTAGTGTTGAAATAACTCAAGTCTATCCTATTTAACAATTGAGCTACCCACCGCCCAATCATAAATCATTCTCTCATCCTGATGATCATATTATTGTCCAGTTTTAGAGCTGCTTAAACGCAAGGTAACAATATACTAGGGGACCTCCAAACTCTATTTTATCATAATCTAAATCGAAAATGCCTGCTCCAAGTTTTAATGATCAGGAATCCAGCTTTTTCCTTGCAAATAATATTATTATGACCTGAATTTTACTATATCTGGTAAATTCATGTCCACAACCGTCAGTAAAGTGAATATTTAATTATTTCAGCCCCATTCCAAATATTTGTTAAAAAAGCGCTATTTTCACTCTTATTGTACTTAGGCATCTGCAATTTTATGAAAGGTTCTCTTCTTTCTTTTTGTAGAATGTTTCATAAAAAAAAAGTACTTGGACTCAATCAGCTCGAAAAACATCCGAGGGTGTATTTCAGAATTACATTCTAGCTGTAAATACATGTCCCAACTGCTGTGTGAATACAAAGTTTTAATGTTAGAAATTTGTATCATAAAACAGATGGGAGTTTGAGTCATGTAAAATGTCATCCTTGTAGTATATTTTGTATATTTGTAAATTCGTGAATGTATAAATGAATCGTACCTGGTTTTTGTGTTTTGATGGGTTGTTAGGCCTTATGGTGAAGAGTTCAACTGGAGGATATTATATAATTTTATATGAAAATTAACCCCTATCAAGATCTAAAATTAATGGATAACGAACATGCTCTGAGTGTTGTATAGTTGTTGGTTATTTTGGTTGGAAACGGAACCTTTTATAGTACCTCAAAATTAGTTCCAAATCTCTCAAAATCAGTTTTACGTCTAAATCTATGGATAACAATTAATCCTTTTAGCTTTTATAAGAAACTTAGTATGTCTTCACTGTGAACCAAATTATTAAGCTATTCCTTCCCCTCCCTCATCATCCTTTTATTCAGTTCAATCTACTAATTGTTTTTTATGTCATACTTGAATCACAGCAAACTATGAAGTTCCTAAGCCATCTATGAAGCCCTTTCTTTCGTTTACTTTTTCTTTTTCTTTTTCTTTTTCTTTTTCTTTTTCTTTTTTAACCACCTGCCCCTTTCTCCAATTTTTAAGAGATCTCTCCTTCTCGTAAGATGTCCAATGACTTCATCTTATAATTTTAAACGGCGTACACCTTTCAGTAGAAGTAAGCATGCTTATCATTTTTATGTTAAAGAAAATTACGTTCAAAATAAGTAAAACGTAAAGGATATTGGGCAGTAAGAGAGATAAAATAAAATTTTAAAAATATTCTTAATACTTCCATTTTTTCTGAATAGAAAAATGATGTTTGAAGGAAAATATTTTATATAATTCAGTGTTTATCCATGAAAATTTCAAAGGGAAAACTGAAGTGCCCAACCAAATAGCATCACCTTCACTTTTATTTATTTCAAAAGAGTACGTACGCTGTTTAACAATTCCACATTTGTGTTCCCTCAAACTAAAGTAATTCATCTCGCAGGATCCTCATCCTACCCATAAACTTAGTCAAAGGCTCCCTGAAATAATTTGCCTCCTCTTTCATCCATCTCAATTTCTCAGTTTTATTAATCTGCATGTTCTCTGACTAGAAGCAGTATAACCTCAGGAGAGTATTCAGCTTTGCTCGTAATTCCTTTTTTCAAATCTTATTCCTCAAAATGTTCAGTCCTATATCTAGTTGACACTAAGAGTAACTACTAACTAACTGCGAACCATACAAAAAGATACGAGACAAACATTTTCTGACCAAAATAAGGAATGATCCTGTTCAAGCAGTCTTGCCATGGCTTGTGTTTTTTTCCTCTATGGGTTTGAAGCTATTTATTATCGTGAAAATAAGAATTCAGAAGCAAGCTTTGATTTCAAGCACAATGAATTTTAAGTCGGAATCCACAAAATGCAAGAAACTTAATTCACTGCCACAACCGTAGTGTTTGGACGTATACGTAGTATATCATCTTTGCAGTTTTTTTTTTTTTTTATCATAATCTCTTTTATCCTGCTTTCACTTCAATCACATCAGTATTTTTTTATAATTTTTATTTAATTGTATTATAATGTATTTATGGATATTCGTATAATTTTAAGCGTGTTTATAATTGCTTCCTTGTGTATAATTCATTCAATAGGTTAGTCGGAGCAAGGAATGAATCAAAAGCAAATGAAAGTAATCAACAACATGTTGCCCGTCCTGGTCCAGGTCCCATACCTACTAAACCTCACGAATTAGCACAACTGCCAAGCCAGCGCATAACCCTGTCAGCCGCATTTGCCCTTGAGACCTCTCCAAAGTCAAAACCATCCCAGTCTCCACCTTTCTCCTCCCAGTCTCCACCTTTTCCCTCGCAATCGCAGCCTTTTCCCTCCCCATCTCAACCTTTCCCCTCTCAATCTCCACCCTTCCCCTCTGCTCGACGTCCAGCGAACTTCTTCATCGTCAAAGAAAATGATACGCCTAGTGGATTCCAGAAGCCTGATGAAATTACCGATGAATTTGCTGTTAAGAAGGAAATCAAAAACATCGACATTACTAGAATGCGAGCAAGTGGCAAAGGTGTTCCCGCAAGAGAAACTCCCAAATTGCCTTTCATCCCTCCCACCTTTTCTCCAACCCTTACCGTTTCTATTCCTCGTAAACCAGTGTACAACTCATCTGCTTTCTCCACTGATGACAATGGAAATTTCAGGATTATTGTGGACCCTTCCTTAAAATCAAGTCCCTCGCCCACCCTCCCCCCTGTCACACTTGGTCTCAGATACTTCAATGTCACACCAAAGTTCATTCCCACCCCAGCAAGTGTTTCTAAAGAAATTCCCAGAGGAACCTTCAAACCTAGGCCATTTGCTCAGCCTGAGTGGATCGACACCATTGATCTAACTTCAACCTCTGCCAGACCCACTCCTTCTCCGGAATCAAGCAATCACAGGTTTGAAAGAGTTAACTTTGAGAAGGAAGTTGCAGAGCTTTCAAGGAGTAATCCAACTTATCAAAGCTTCACAAAACCACCGGTTCAATTCACAACAGAAGCATCGACATCGAGAATTGCGATTAAAATCCCACAAAGACTTGCATCAAAATCAGATCAGTCGACCAAAAAAATTGATGTCACTAATACCGTCGGTCGGTTCATCAGCGACTTATCTTTCACAACCAAGAAACCTGATAGACCTCTAAGAGCCAAATCAGAAGAAAATGATGTTCAACGTTTTACTACAGCGGCTCCCCCGGTATCAAGGTTTTGGTCGAGTCCTAAAACAGAAGCAACGACCGCTGGCAAAACCGCATATCCGCCAAAGTATGAATTCATCAATAAACCAACGGAAACTCCTTCCGTTCATGTACCGAGAAGCTTTTCTTTGAGTAAAGACAATCCGCCAAATCTAAACGCCAACAAACAGACAACATACAACATTGAGAAAAAGCCATCTAAATTTGATGAGAATCTTGATGAGGAGGAATACTATGATGATGAATATTATGAAGACGAAGAGGAAGAAGAAGAAAAACCCCTGATAGCACCCCGTCCATCTTCAACTCAGACTCCTCAAGCCCCTGCTCCCGCGCCTGCTTCTACCTCACAACTTCCTCCTCAACCAGCTCCTTTTACCTATAAGCCCACTATCAAACTCCCAATCTCTAGTATTATCAAAGAGTACTCTCCTCCTTCTAAGAGTGGTCCAAGAATCCCCGCGCGAGATAATGAAGTCAACAATGCCAAGGAAACGGCCCTAAATCCTTGTTCAGAGCCTAATTCTGAGTGCAACGAAAAACCGCTAAGGTATGCAGTTTCTCAAGCTCTTGTTTAAATTAGTATGAAAATTAATCTAAGGGCTGAAAGTATATTTTATGGAAGATATCTTCAAGTCTGAAGTAAAATTTGAAAATGTCTAGGTTTTATTGTAGGCAATCAATTTAAGTGTCAATTTTTTATTTATTTATTTTTTTTCCTTAATGAAAAAGTTCAAAATCTTTATATTTTAGAAACCAAATATTTAATATAGATTTCTGTGCAAAAGTCACGCTAGCTCCTGGTTGTGATAATAATTATTTATCTTTCATAAGGTATGTCTTCAGTCCTAGTCACTAATAATTTTAAAATGACTCAGCCGTCAATTAGGTACATAAGATTCTTTTGTTTCCGTATATTTTCTTCCATCATCTGTGCTTGGATGTGCTCTTTCATCATCAAAGTAAGACATTTTTTTTCTTTTCTCCCCATCATTTTCAGTCTCATGAATTCATTCTCGCCACTCAAAATCAGTCACTTCGGCTTCAATTGAATTTTCAAATTTATAATTTTCTGACTGTATTCCCACATTAAAAGAACTCTTTTTGAAAACTTAATCCAAAAGCCGAGCAATAAGCCTCCATTTTAGATCTCAAATCCTAATTATTCTTCACGCCGAACTTCCCACACATTCAGTCATATATTTTAAGTTCGAAATTTTTCGATTTTTTCGACTGATCATTTACTATCTTCAAAATTAATTCTAGTTCCTTTAGTTACTTATTTCATGTTTCATTCCATTCCCATCAGGCAAATGCCCTCAAAAAATCAAAATATATTCAATTGTACACTATTGTGGTTCATTAATCTCATTGAGAGAGTAGTGTTTGGCTAGAGTTAGTGGACGGATGAAGAAAGTAAACAATCATTATTTACTAAATAAAATGAACTGAGACTTGTACAAGAACGAAAAAAGTTCGAAAAAAAATTATGATTAAAAGCGTCTGGGCCAGTGATAATCTTGTTAATTTTTTTTTTGTGAATTGACGAATCAAAGACTCATGATGTACTCATAATTGCCTTTTGCTGCCAATATCTCAAACTACTAATAAGTAGTCTATCTATCTATTTAGTAATCTATTTTTCCTTCCCTCGGGTACTATGTCAAAGTTTTTTTTCATACAAAATTATTTTTATTCTCCTCCCGCTAATAAGTCACAACAAATTTAAAATGCAGATAATAGACACAAGTTAGTTACATATTAAATTTTTAGAGGATGTATCAAAATGCCAAATTGATTGATTATTCCATAATTTGTGATTTCATAGCCGAGGGAAACCTGTGACAATTACCGAAGAGAGCCCAGCTTCTCTTGATTCTCCTAGGTATGAAGCCTCAATCACGTTCATCATTCCATGAAATCTCATTGCTTCATTCTAAGCTTAAAGATCACCATCATTATTCCACCACTTTTTCAACTGAGCAATTCTTTGCATGCTCAATTGCTCATTCAAACCTCCCACTTGCGGTTTTTTGTTGTACTCGGAAACGACTGACTTTTGACCTCATTTGTCCCTGAACTGTGGGATACGTGATTTTCGTTGTGACCTGATGAATTTTCAAAACCTACTGGTTTTCAAACAGTGTTTGAACTCGACGACTCAAATAACCATTGTTTGACCATTGACCTGAAGGACTCACCCATCATTCATCTTTTACTTCTGTCTTTTATTCATCATTCATTCAATTATATTCCTAACATTTCTGGTATTATGGTGCTGGGCACAATGCTGTTGATCGTTTGATGACAATTGCCTGCTTCAAGTTATATCAGATAGAAAGTGTGGTGTCTAGTTTAAGACAACATTTTAAATTTTAGCGTCGCTAAATATTTTAAATTTGCAATTTGAATTTTACGAAGCTTTGTATTTGAGCACAATATCACTGCAGCTGAATGACTCTAATCTGCAAGTTTGATTAACTAATATTTTCCCCTCACCATCTTTCATTTAAGTAGGCGAGAATTATCCTCCACCTCATGAATAGGAAGAAGAAACCAGGAAACCAAGGACGAATCATGAGAAATCAATGAGGATCTAAACTTTTTTCTTCATTGCGGTTTCTTAATTTTAAATATATATTTCAAGGCAGTCTGTTAAAGAGCTAATATTGATTCATTATTCTCGAACAGAAAAATTTCGAATGGTTTTTGATTTTACAAAAATTCTCAAGAAGTGTTTGATATGCGATGTGATGACCAATTCTTTTCAGAAAGAAGTAAAATTCAGTTTGTACATTTTTTTTTATTTTTTTATTTTTTATTTGTCGAATGATAGATCGGAGTTGTGGCACTAAATACACACTACACTCGAGGGACTAAAGCCTGCTTTAAAATAGGGATTTTTAGAATTTTGTCTTCCATTTTCTCTCTGCAGGGCCTCCTATTTTTGTTAAAATTCATGTTGGACAACTGAGTCAGACTCAATTTAATTATTTTTGTTCTTTTCAAAAATTGATATTTTTATGACCTATGCATTTTTAATTTTTTTTTTTTTTAGTTAAGAAGGTCAAAGTCTGTAAATATATATTTGAAATACATCGATGAGCTTCAATGGGTGAAAACTCATATTTAGCTTATTTTTAAGTGTTGAAATGAGAATTATNATGAGAAAAATTACACAAATTATCTATATTTAAAATCAATAGAAAGAAAAGTAAAATGTTCTGATCCATGTAATGGAGAGTGTAAGGCATCCTTCTGCCTTCATGTTTCATGTTCAGAGTTTGCAAAAAGATTTCCTTGAGTTATGAAAATATGACGTATTCGGTCTAGGTAATTGACATAGGACTCAAAACGGACCCAACTACCTTGCTCCTTTAATCTCGTTTTATACCTCAGAGTTTTCGTCCAATGAGTCAATCAGTTGGGATACCTACATTATCATAAAGCACAAACGTCCATTTTAATTTTCAGTGAACAAATAAGCCTAGAATCATTGGAAAGCCCCCTTCCCCCCCCCCCCCCNAGGATTTTTGCTCTCCTCTTCTCACTAACGGTTACGTTATTTTTCCTTTTTTCATTATGCTATCATGCTAACACTAATATTTATCCTTTTTCACAAAGGTGCTCTTGTGTTTATACTTTCAAAAGCTACTTCTTGTAAATTTTATTTTGGTGTTTAGTGCATGCCTTGCCTTATAACCATGTTTTCTGTTTTGTTTCGAGTATACACTTTTACTTCTTCCCAAACATCCTGAAAGCATCCCTATAAATTCCTTCACTAATCAAAATTCATAATTTCGTAAGAGAGGTTGTCTAGTTTTATTTTTTATTCGCAAATTCTCTCATTATAAATGTACCAGATAAATACGAATTTTTCTTCCAAGAAAAACTCCGAACATCAGCATGAATCTGAAGAAAGGGTGAATGAATTATGGTTTGTTAGCAACTCTGTTATGAAATCGGAGAAACATGAATCTAAGATACAGTGTTTGAAAATCTTCCTTCCTAGATTCTTTTCTGTTTTTATCATCATAATCCTTTCAAGGAAAGAACAAATTTATTTACCTCAAATTTTTTCAGCGTATCTTTTACACAGAGAGGAGAAAAATTCTGAACAATTTTAAGGCATGATGTCGCTCAGTTTTCCATTTTATTATGACTACATCGTTCATATGAAAAAAAATTTCATAGAGGTCCGTGTTTTTCTTTTTTAAACTTTACCCTTGAGCTGTAATCAAACGCATCATGAGAACATAAAAAATCCAATGCGTTTTTTGTCTCCTCAAAATCATCAATAGCCAGTCGCATGACAACATCAAGTCATCAGTTTTCTTTAAAAGAACAATGTTTTACCAGTATCGGTAAAAAAAATTGACCATTCGTTCTTTTTCCCAAGTAACTTTCGGAAAGCTGTGTTCTAATAAAATCCAAGTTGATACATGTTAAATGTGACTGTAGTCTTGCGAGAAGAATTGCAACCTACCCAAAGTTCCTCAAGTTTTTATGATTTCTAACAAGTTATGATGAGTATACAAGAGCAAATACAAAATTAGGGCACATTTACAGAGGTAATGGTAGCAATCAGCTTAAATCACTCTCTTAGCTGCATCTTTAGCTTAGCAATCAGTATACTTATGCCTTTTTTAAAAAGAAAAAAAAGTACTTTATAATGAAATAAGTATTTTCCTAGTTTGAGAAAATTCTCTAATTTTGGAAGTAGGAATAATTTTTATCTCGATTCCACTTGAATGACTGACTGGTTAGAAATTATGATTCAGAGCTTTGATTTTTTCAGAATTCCTCTTGAGAATTTGTATTTCCACTTTTGAACTTGTAAATATATCTATAATTAATAGAATTTGCTTTGAATTCTTACCTTAAGCATTTTCCTACTAGCTGTTCATAGAATGCTGTTAAGTCTCCATTTGAAATGGACCACATCAAGTAGGCTTGAGTTTTACAATTATTTTCTCTCTTTTTTTTTTTTGAAGAGAATCTTCTGTAAAATTTTTTCATCAGAGAGTAGGTGGTTCCATCATTGTTGACCCTCTCTTCCTCCCTCTCACATCCGTCTTCTCTGAATTTCAGAAAGGGAAGGAAAGAAAACCTTGCATTTAGCAAATAATTTGGAATGTTTTTCACCGAGAAGAATGAGAATATTGAAACACATTCATTTTAGTATAATAGTCTTATCCGAACACTCATTGCTTTAAACTTAATGAAGGGTTTCATTGTTTGTGACAGGTGAAAACCTTTTCAGGATCTTTATTCTCTTCACTTGTCACCTCTTGATTTCGGAAATTCTTTTAGTTTATCTGTCAAACATTGCTCAGTCGCCCACCTACTAATTTTTTTTTGCCTTGATGTGGTCCATATGTGCATACATTTTTGACGCTAACCTGTAAATAATATTATTAGCTCATTGGAAGTATCTTGTAAATATAATTGGCCTGTTTAACTTCTTTCAGTCGTGAAGAACTCAATTCATAAACTGTCGATTAAGTACATCTTTCTTAAAAGCATGTTTCTGTCATTGATATTTTTGAAAATGTATACATTTTACTAAGAGTAGAAAAAATTGCAGCCCAAGTGGACACTGAACTATTAAATTAAATAAGTAATTTTCACAGGAGACGAATGCGAAGTGCAGTAATCTCCAACTATCATGAAATTGCTGTCAGTGAGCTTACAGAACTAAAACAAACCATTGATTGATAAGAGCTGATTGATCAGAACTATGCCGTAAATGCAGGTAGTGCTCAAAGTCTAAGTTCTGTCTTCTGTGAAAAAGTATGTGAAAACATTATTTAAATAGTTGACATCAATTGTACATAAAAGTAAATAAAAAATGTCTGTAGCTCATTCTTGAATGTGAAAATTGGTTTTAAATGAATTCAATAATTATTTTAAGCATCATTGCACATATGCAAAATCAGTAGCTTGTCCTCTTGTAAATATCTTTCACCTAATGTGTTATTGTTTGTTTTTTTCTGTTGCATCAGAGGGCGCCACCGAGGTAGTGCAACATACACAACAGTCAGCAGTGACTCTGATCGTGGATCCCTGTCAGGGTAAGAGGAAATCAATGAAAATGACTGTCGATATGTAAATTAAATACGCTGTCCTTCCTAAATCAACCAAAATAATTTGCAAAATTAAATCAATCGTGTTCCATTGTTTAAAGTCTTTTTTAATTTTCTGAAATGACCGTCTAAGCTAATGTTGATCTTTCAAGTGTTTAGAATGATTTAAAGGTGTGGTTTAAAACATAATGAATTGCATTTTTTAAAAAAATGTATGATGAGGTAACAAGATTGTCAGCACCCAGAAATTAACTAATTTTTTGCCCCGTTTTAAGACTGTGTGGACAAGAAGCCGAAGAAAAAATTTTAATTTTGTTTTTACATTCGTTCATCCTGAAAAAAAATGTGGTTAAGAAATGTGCTATATTTTCTCATTTTGTGTCAGTTGTACCTAGTCCTAATGGATTTTCTTCATCTTTTCAGGGGAAGACCAACTTTAAAACCGTCAACATCAATTGTTTCCAAAACATCTGATTATTATGATATCTACAGATTCCCTCCTAGGAGGTAAGTGAAACTTTAAAAAATTCAAATTAAAAAAATTTCAATTTCTCTGTAAATTTTAATAAGAATAAAAATCCTCTCTGTGAAAATCCCTCTGAGATCTCTAAATCTCATTTCAGATTCAGTAATTTGCAAGAGCTAAGTTACTTTATCACAAATTTCTTTGTAGAAAGTGTTGACAAAATTTTACCCCCCCCCCCAAAAAAAAAAAAAAAATAATAATAATAATAACAATAACATAGTCCAGAGACATCCTGTCAAAATGTCAGTCATGAACATTGGAGGGGTATTAATTCATCTTGTTGTTTATTATTTTTGTGTGACTCATGATCCAAATTTTTATATTTAACAGACCAGAGGCAGTCTACCCCACACCTCAAGTTGATAAAACTGCTGCCAAGTGCCGAAAGGATGTTTGCCTCCTTCCTGATTGCTACTGCGGAGGAAAAGATATACCTGGTAAGTAGAGTATAAAAAAAAATCACTGTAAATTCTTGTTGTCCCTGGATTTTAATTTCCTCATTTTGAAAGAGTCAAGATATTGACTGCCATGATGAAATTAATCTATGCTGATGCCTTATGTTTACTAGCAAGATAATAAACATTAAACCTAAAAGAAAATGTTTTCTCAAAACAATGACATTTCAATGTGTTTACCTTATACTGTATGAATCAAGATGAAGCCTTTAATAACGGACCCAAGACCAAATGTTAGATCAGATGATTAAATGAAATTTGGCATGCACTTTGGTTAGGCTGATCCGTATGTTCAACCAGTTATTGTAACTGAAGTAGCAATCAATGTTGACTGTGAAACTCCCAAACTGCGAATCTTGTTTGCAGTGTTTGAAAATCTCTGCTCCTGTTTTATATTTTTAAAAGAGAACTAATCAGCATCATTTCTTGAAGTTTCCTCAGAATTAGCTTCCCACAGAGATCACATATCCCTATTTCACCTTAGTCTTGTCTTGTCCGGTGGACACAAAATTTCAACTATTAAGTAGGCTACCGGCAAAGAAAGTATCTATATGCATTGCAAGAGGAGGTCAATTTGCAAATTCATAATTTACAGTCGTGAATCTTTCAAAAAGTAATGAGACTTTATGTAAATCTCTTTACCTTGAAATCATAACGTCCTCATTTTGTATGTTACTTACTTGTTTCAATTTTCATTCTAACGCAAAGTTTTTCTACCATTTATGTGCTGTAGGAGATTTAACACCTGAAGAAACACCGCAGATAGTATTGTTAACTTTTGATGACTCCGTCAATGATCTGAACAAAGGACTGTACAGTGATCTATTCGAAAAAGGAAGAACCAACCCCAATGGTTGTCCGATCTCTGCAACCTTCTATGTCTCTCATGAATGGACCGATTACAGTCAAGTTCAAAACCTGTACGCAACTGGTCATGAAATTGCCTCCCATTCAGTCTCGTAAGTAACAAATTATTGGCTCTAGCACCATCTCATTGGAACTTTACCATGGGATTCATCTAGTTTCTTTACTCAAACATTCGTCCGGTTTTTGAAGTCCTCTCTCGAGGAAAGTCTCCATCTATAATGTTTTTTTCTATATAAATAGCTAAGTTTTTATGCAAGGATCTAAAGTCTTGACTTTTTAATGATCATGTATTATTAATACTTGAATTTTATTCTACCAACAAAAATTAAATGTCTGCAAAACTAGAAGCAATGAGTATGTTAGTCCATGCAGGCTGTGTCAAGTGAAAATTTGGTGAGAATTGGTTCATCATAAAATGATAATTGAAAATTCAGGCATAATAATTCACAGCATCAAAAATTTAACAATGGAACAAGAGCACAGTGGACAAGAAGATCAAGAGATGAGTAGCCGAGGGTTGATTTCCTGCTTAATTTGTCCAAATCAGGGTAAACAACTGTAGAAGAGAGGAAAAACCTGATCTTCATTCATCAATGAAATATAAAAAAACAAGCATGTTTGTAAATCTATTATTTTACCGCTTTCTCTTGATTTCTGAATATTTATGACCTTTGTGTCTCATTACAGTCACAGTTTTGGTGAGCAATTTTCTCAGAAGAAATGGACAAGAGAGATTGCCGGTCAACGAGAAATTCTTGCTGCGTATGGTGGTGTGAAGCTTGAAGATATCAGAGGAATGAGGGCACCATTTTTAGCCGTAAGTAGTTGTTTCAAGCAAATCCTGCAATACTATAAGATGCAAATGCAATCTTTGACTGCAAATATGCAGCATTATTTCATCACTGACTCTGCCCAGAGGCTGTAAAGGTTTCCTGGGATTGGGATGGCACCATCTGACCCTAATTTTAGTTTTGTAGAACTTCAGGTAACCTTAACTGAAGAAGGATTGTAATGATTGACTCTCCTCACAATTTTTACATCCTTTGGTTCTCCTTATTATGTTTTGAGAGTCGTTTAGCAGCAGCAGCATCAGCAGATGGCGGAAGGATCGCTTTCTTGTGCCATACCTAACGTTATGCTCATGACAGCGTTTCAGTGCCGGCTAGGATTTTACAGGATGCAAAACTGGGCTCACTGATAAGTGTGATCTACTAATGAGGTCTAAAAAAACCTGAATCTCTTGGCGTGACCAGCTCAGTATTCCGGTGCATCTGCCAGAGTGGAACACTCCTCTTCTCACTTTTGCGCTGATAATTATGAGAGTTCAAGTTTTTTACTCTGATGGAAAAATTTGCGAAATTTTTGGCCTTGATTTCCCGGCAAAATAGTGTGAGCCCAGCACTACTCTACCATCCTCTCATTTACAAGTATATATTTACAAGTAAAGAAGTCACCATAACAGAACCATACGTGTACTGTGTTCCATTTCAAACAAATCAAAGCTTAAAATGTTGTGACAACAACTGTGACCATGATTTTTTGCCAAAAGACAAACACTAAGCCTCATTCTGTGTGCGATGGATCAAAATGTAAGTCTCAAATGGCAAGTGTAACAAGCGTAGTACAAAGCGCCTAAGATATTGGACCTCAATCTGGTTCAATCTGATACATGTATGTACATGCATCTTGATAAATTGCAGGTATTTTAGCAGAATATTGTAAAATATTCAACATAATTTTACCCTCATATTTATTTTGTATTAATCACTCTCAAAATGTTTAACTTACATTCATTCTATTTACAGGTCGGAGGAAACAAAATGTTCAAAATGTTGTATGATTCCAACTTCACTTACGATTCGTCAATGCCAGTCTATGAAAACCGACCTCCCAGCTGGCCGTATACCTTTGATTACAAGATTTTCCACGACTGCATGATACCACCTTGTCCTACTAGGTCATATCCAGGTTAGTTTTCAATTTCAGTAATTATTATCCTTTTTGATGCGAGGAAAAAGAAAAAGAATTTGATATTGAGAAAACATTGAATTGATTAGGAAATGTGAAACATTGAGATTAAATCAGTTTAGAAAACTTTTTAACCTTTTTATTTCAGAATTTTTAAAGAGTTCTAAAATTACTAATATTAATCAAGTTGTGTCCTTTTTATCTGTGCATTAAACTTCAAACTGAGCACTGAAGAAGAATTTTTCATTTCCACCATAGGCAGTTTCAATTTTACATGCTCCTAATAACTAGATCATGGTGGTGAGTGATATACTGATTCCGATCAAAATTATAAACGTTCCAATACATATTGATAAACAGTAATAATGATTTTATTATCAGTTAGCCGTCAATAGAAAAAATTATGGTAAAATGAATGGTAAGAATAATAGTGCTACTTCCATATTATTTTTAGAAATCTTGATTGAGTGCATCGTAAAATAGAATCAAGGACTGTCAGTTTGTACTAAGAATTGAGGAAGATTGGTTTGGTAATCAATTAATTTGTAAAGAGTGAATGTAACTATTTTGACTTTTTCCAGGGGTATGGGAAGTACCAATGGTGATGTGGCAAGATTTGAACGGTGGACGATGCTCCATGGGAGATGCTTGTAGCAATCCACCCACTGCAGATGGAGTTTACAAGATGCTAGTCAAGAACTTTGAAAGACACTTCACAACTAACAGGTAAAGTATTTCTATCATGGCATATGATGCAGTTCGGTAGTTAGTGTCTGCTCGAATTGAACTCATCTAACTCTCATGTCCATGTGTCATGTCATGTTCTGCATTTAGTATTTGAAAAAATAGGGTCGTCTTTTTATTTCATCTCAGCAAAAGTTGTCCTCTTCGAAGACCCTCAAAAACGAGGATGGGAAAGAGTTTTTAAGGAGTTTAGAAATAAAGTTTGCCGATGTGCAGCATAGGTCTCTACTGACCCAATTACTGTCGTTAACTTAGTAATTTTTGGAACATACTGGTACTGATGACGTAAGATTGGTCTCTTCGGTTCTCAAAAATTGTGCTTTTAATTTTTTTATGGCCCACTGGAATTTTTCATTAGAGTTGAACGATGCATAGAAATCTCAGGAAATTTGACCTACAAGAAGTTTCCATTAAACTCATACGCTCTCATCTTTATGTTTAATACTATGCAATTTGTTCGTTTCATTTTCGTTGTTCTCATTATTTCAATGGTTTTTGTTTGAACTGTTCAATTTTTAACAGTCAATCATACATTCAATCTGTGTACTTTTGAATCTCATCCTTATCAAAATCATTATTTTCCTTTTCAGAGCACCTCTCGGGCTATTTTACCATGCTGCATGGTTCACACAACCTCATCACAAAGAAGGCTTCATTGCATTCTTAGATACTATTGTGAATATGCCTGAGGTTTGGGTTGTGACCAACTGGCAGGCATTACAGTGGGTTCGAGACCCAACCCCCATTTCTAGACTGCGCAACTTCACTCCATTTGGATGTGATTATCCTGTAAGTGCTGTCAAATCCTCTAATGCATTTAATTTATAAAAGGATTGATTTTGAAGAAAGAACCAAGCACAACAACGCAAGTATCATACCATGAAAAAATCAAACGCTATGTCCACCAGAAAGATTTGCTGTTGCTGCAAACAATCCTCGAATCTCACCCTGAGGTATTATCGAATCAGGGCAAAGGAAAAAACTGAAATAATAGCAATTAAGAGGAAGTCTGCTTTTATGTATTACTTTTGAATGTTGGTTTTCATAGTATGTTGACACTGTAAAGTTTGCATGATACTGTCCCTACTCCCAATCGAATAAAGTCCCAAATCTCTCTTCAGTTTAATCTTTTAATTTTACCTTTTTTTCTTTTATTTTTGAGATCTCTTTAGAATGCTCAGTCATGTCTAGCTTTTACCTGATATTCAGTAGCGAATATTTTGTGTATATATTGTTCAGAATATTCCTGTTGTATCAGAGGCCGGTTCCCTTAAACACTCCGCCATCCACCATGTCTGTTGTCCTCAATTTTTATGAAAGAGAGTTATAGCTCATAGGAATCAAAATCATGAAATTCTCGCAGCTCTTTCTATAGATTTCATAGCAAAATGAGATTTGTGGAATATAGTTTTGGGGAGAAAAGAGGAACAATAAAGAACTCACGAATGGAAAATCTTTGGTAAAGATAGAGAGAGCTAGTGAATTCAGCTAATTTACTCAGGAAAATTTTGTTTTTCTGCAGTTTGCATATCCCTAGGAAGTGAAATTTATTTTGAAATTTCTATGTATTTTCAATTCTAGCAAAAGCCAATTTTTCTCTTGCCCACTAGTGACACATGGCGCTGCATCATTAGAACTTTTTTAAAGCCGCTTGTTACCGTATGGTCTTTCCTTTTTTTCCCCTTTTTTTTTTGGTTGAATGTTTTCCATTTGCGAACTGAGACAAAAATCATTCAAAGCAAAGAATAATGAGGAAGGAGGGACAGAATGGCTGGTCTGTCCATCCTGATAAGCTGTGACCTTTTGTAGCCGCTCAATACCACCAGACCATTGTGGGAGGTGAATGTATATTCTTCCTCCCCCACAAAATGTTTCCAGCTGCACTGATGAGCACTGTGGGTTATAAAAAAAATTGGGTTTTTTCAATTAGACGTGTAAACTTCATCATCATTGTTTTTTGCCCCTCAGGATCGGCCAAGGAAGTGCAACAACCCAAAAGTATGCAACCTGTGGCACAAATCAGGAGTACGATACATGAGGACGTGCCAACCATGCCCAGACATCTACCCATGGACCGGTAAAACAGGAATAAAAAATAGTAAAGTTGACAATGAAATCATTCAAGAGTGAGATGTAGAAAGAGGAGAAATGTAGGACAAAACAATGAATACTGCCAAATAGTCTTGGACCTCTCACCCCGACGAAGGAAAGGAGGACTAAGACAAAACTGCCATAGCATTTTCTTACTCATCGTCCTAGACTTAGTTTGTTAAAATTCGAAGCCATTAAATGGCTACCTTATGTCTAAGTTATGTCCCATTTCCTTATTTATGATTATTTATTGTTTTTATACTGTATCATATTTGTATTAATGTTTTGTGAATAGTTTACCATTTAGGTACCATGATTAGGTAATACTCCGTGTTCTTGAAGAATGCATGACTAGGAATTTATTTTTTCTAGCTACATATTTTTTTATTTCTTACTGATTCCACTTCCACTATCTCACTCTGATTTTTTACTCATCGTATGCCATAGTTTTTTTTAATATGTAGGAGTTTTTTACTCGACTCTTGTGGACTAACCAATTCTTTATCCGTAATGATTTTTACATCTTTAGACCATCCGTAGTAGCACGGCTTGTAAAATGACTTGTTAAAAAACTGGTAATTTTTCCAAGTTTGGAAGTTGTATGTAAACAAAACTTGCGAAAGGAAATAGTTGATAATCAGAGTTCAAGAATTTTACCTTAGAAATTTGCGAACAAAGATGGAAAAAATAATTAGGTAAGTGAACTGGATTTTGTACTTTTCCTTGTTTTGTTTTTTTCGTAAAAAATACTTCATGCCCTTCCTTGGTCTATACCACTACTTTTATACGAATTTTTTACAATACTTTTTTTGTAAATTTATGGCCTGTGCTGCTAAGGAATACTGGTTTCTATCATAGAATGATCATGAGGTCTTACTTGTAATTTTAATCTCTCATTCAATCTTTTAGATTTGTCTGTGCAATATTACCGATGTAAGAAATTGATAGGTATTTAGTATTATGGGTTTCCAAGTATTCAGTTAACTTAAAATAGTACTCTTGTTTGCTCAAAACTGATAGGTACTTTATGTTTTTATGCACACTCGGTTTTTTTAGTACTGCATTCTTGATTCCCTTTTCTTCTCTTTTTCTTCTATTTTACCTTTTTTTTCATTCTTTTTAGTCTCTTAGTAAACTTTTGTACATGACAAAAATATGAAGGCAATGATAAAATACCTACTGCACTGCTTTGTGGGTGAAGAGTCCTCTTTAAACATGGAATTACACCTTAAAAATTTTTAGTTTACAGTCGATTTAGTAGTGTATCAACAATGGTCTTGTTACCAAAAATATTTGAGCTGCTGGAATTACGCACAAACCTTATTTTTTAGCAGCACAGTAGTATCTCTTTTCAAGTGATAAAGAAGTGAATTTTATTGTTGCCTGCATCTCTCTCAATTTGACTTCATTAAAATTAACTTCTCAAGCATTTCTAATGTTTTACCAGCGAATATAGGTATAGCAGCTTGTGAACAATAAACTTTGAACGTTTCTAAATTCTTTGGTTATCTGAACTGATTGGCTGCCTTATAATTTGATTAACCCGAGGTAAACTGTAATTTTCTTCTTTTAATTTACTAGTTTAATGTATTATAAAAAATGATTCAACGACTAGTTTTATTAAGTATGTTTGATGATTGCGAGGGAAAACTCACCAAGAATCCATATTGCTAGGATCGTCCTTTGAAAATCACCACTATTTTTTCTTAATGCAGAGGGTCAGGTCAGATAAAATTATAATGTGATAATATGATATAATATCATCATGTGTATAGTATTAAATGGATGATTTGTTTAACCTTGCCTTTTCTTCTGCTGTCTACCTCAAAATTTAGCAATTATGTTTTCTTTCTTTGTTCTTTTCCTTCTCAATCTTCTCTGCCAATGCTTACATTCAATTCAGTCTTTTTACTTCTCTGCATTAGTGCATATAATTCCATTACCTCATCAGGTAATTAGTTAGCTGAAGCTTTGCTCACTATGTGGGTTTTTCTTTTTTCTCTGCATGTTTTAGAAATTTTTAAGTTAAATTTCAAATTGATTTGAAATGAATTTCACCCTCTCAAATATATTTCAAGTGCTCTCAGGCGAAAATACTTCTTTTTCCATTCAAAATTTCTTGACTCAAAATACGGTTCAACTTTCGTCCCTTTATTCATTTTTCTTTATAAATGGAACTACTTTTGCATTTTAAAAAGTATATATTTTTTTATCACCGATCTTATGAGCAAAATGTTCAGATATTTTCTCTACTCATTAGGGCAACATACTTTTTGTGACAAGTTTTCAAAGTTACATTATTTTTGGCCAAATTAGCCAAAAAAAGAAGAATGGAAAAACAAATTCAATGTAAGATAAAGATTGGATCAGTTTTAGATTTTGTAAGTTAGTTCCCTGAGAGCATTTGATGCATATATTATAGAGTTGAAGTCTTAGTAATGCCATGAGTTTTAGAGGGAAATAAAAGTAACTCTCTGAACTTGTTTTTTTCAACAGATCTCTCTTGTATGGCTATTGAAAGACTACGAAATTTTAGTATGAAGGAAGCGAATCATAAGGGTTGTATGTATTTTTGTAGTTTTGAAAGCTTAATGAGTAAGCTGCAATTAAAACATGCTTGATTTACCTCTTGTCTATATTTCAAAGAGTCAGCTTTAATCGAAACATTCAGTGATTAGAAACTCATAGCTATACATGATGGATCTGTTGCTTTTCTTCACAAAGAGGAAGCTTTCAAATGAAAATATCGATTTGTTTTTATTTTTGTACTTAACTTACTTTTGTTGTATGATACTTTTTACCGATGGTTCAAATTGTGATTATTAATTAAGCAATTAGGATGATACTTTTGTATTAATTATTTCAAATTTATTTTGAATGTAAACAGGATAGGACGCATGGCTGAAAATGTTATGCTTATGGCGAGCTAAGGAGCTCTGATTTTATTCTTGACTGATAATCTCCTGTTACATATGGTCAGGTCTTATATGTGATTACTTCTTCATTTTCTGCCACTCACTAGACTTCTCTTTACGGCAAAAAATCGAAAAACTAATCACATGGATGTTTTACTATTGTAGGATTTAAACATGATTGCAAAACTTGATTGTTGCTTTTCACTCTCAGTCCATATGTTTTTTCATTGATCCCCTATGATCGACAGCAGGAATAATCAGATACCTCTTTCGAGTTAGGAAAGGGGCTTTGTCTCCCAATTCGAAAAATTAACTGTATCGCATGTACTAATCATTACATTCAGGAAAGAAATTTTTGCACTAAATTTGATAGAACTGACTTCTGCCAGTGCGCTGTAATAATTTTTTGTTTCTTTCTGTTTTATCTTCTTCTGCCGCCTCTCTGCTATTAGTTTTGGAAGGAAGTTAACAATCATGTTTTGCATCTTTGTTAAATTACATCATCCAAAATTGTGGATTTTCAAAATGTATATTATCTCTTTAAAAAAAAACAAAAAACTATGTTGCCAATGTCTAAGCACTAAAAATAAATAAATTTAAGCTATATTGAGTCCATTTTCATTTTCTGTCTCAAGACTAGCCTTTCAACGAAGAAGCGAGGATTCAGCCCAGATGGTCAAACGTACACCAAACTTTGGCACAACTAGTTTGACGAATCAGATTTAACTCTGCTAAAACTAGTTCAATGAAGTATTCAGTTCGACAAACTCTGACTAAAAGTTAGACTGTCTGGACCAAGCTGTAGATGTCTAATTCTGCTCCATGCATGAAAAAACATTTTCAAAAATTAACACAGTTCTCTCAAAGTAATTAATTAGACAAGCCATTATTCAAGCTTGGATATTCACCTCTGTCGTACCTAATACTCTGAGCAAATTATTTCTTATCGATACATGAGCCTTGCTTGCTGCAATAGAATTCCCCAGATCTAAATATTTTTCTGATTCAATTTCCATGAGAGTAATATTTCAAGGCAATGGAGCAACTGCATTGAGGATACTTTAGAGACTAATACCTACATTATCAGAGTTGGCTTTCAGGAATTTTTTTACTCGAGAGTCAAAATTTGCCTTCCTCCCAGTTAACTGCAAAATATTATGTAATAAGGAAGCAACTTTTTACAAAGATTCTATCGCAGAATGAGCCGCACTGTAAAATTCTGTCCAAGATGAGCTTTACATCTCCCATAAAGATCCTTCCTAATTCTTTCCGAGGGCCAAACATTTAATTATTTTCAATTTCAAGGGACTTTGTGATAGAGGAAATTCATGAAAACATCTCCATGAGAAATCATGCAAAAAAGACAAAACATTGAAGTCATGGAAAAGTCGGGAAATTTTGTGATTCAAGAAAACTTGTCGCCCTGTGACGCGTGTCATTCTTTCTATCAATAAGATGTAGGTTCTACTTTTGGGATAACTCCTCTCCTTCACTTTTAATCAGAAAAGGGAGGTATGTGAGTACACGTGAACTGGGTGTTTTATGAATCAATTTTATTAAAATTAAAAGTAGGTAATACAATTTGTTAGACAAATAAGGAGAATATAGATTTTAAGAAAAGAGGACAAATAAAAACTTGAACCAAATCACAGGCAAATAAAACTAAACAAAAGTATGAGCAATCAATCACTAGTTAGTATTTCAAAACCCTTCTATCTTCCTTTCCCCATATAGTGACCCACAGCGCTAAATTTGGTCTGAAGTTTAGCTTTGTTAAAAAGAGAGCTCTTTGCTCCAATGTGTTAAAACTGCGAGCATAATGAAAACCGGCGAAACTTGATTTACCATTTTGCAGTTTAAAAATTGATTCCTTACATATTCGTACAACATGCAAAACAGCTTCCCTAGAGGTATTAAATTACCTTACAAGGATAGGGAGTACCCTTCACCGGCAAGCTCTCTTGTTGCCCAAACTGAACTGAACTTTCAGTTTTTGTATGATAGGGCCAAGATGGAAGGAAACATCATACCACTGAGATTTTGAAATTTCAACACTTTCGGACATCTTAGCCGGTTTGAATAGCTTGGAAAAGAATTGCAAAGATAAGTTAAGGGAAGGGAAGAGAAAAAATTACTTTCTCCAAAAATTTGATTTAACAAAGCTCAACTTTTCGCGGAAAGTCAATTACTTTTATTCAAAATACAGTCCCATATTGATGGCTAAAGTTGAATGAAACGCATCTTCGATTGTGACATGGCAACTGACTTCTCATGTTAAACTATTCAAGAAGGCATCTAACGAGCAAATTTCCGTTAATTTTATTTATTCATTCAATATAATTATTAGAAAATTATCAAGAGCAGTGGCGTGACTTGTATTGTGATAAATTGATTGATCTGCCATTTAAATCTATGGAAAAGTATCTTTAAACAGGGAGACCGCATTGAACACCTTAAAAATCGATTCTTTACCACAGCTTCAAATGGGGAAATATGGATAATCAATCATTCACGCCTCGCCACCAGACAAGGAAGACATGTTTATTAGTAATCTTCAGAACAAAGGGAGCATAGGTAATCGGAGATTTATAAACATTCCGATGAAGATACGCAACCTTTCCCTATAGCCAATGATATGAAGAATTTTCAAACCTTGCAGTTGGAGAGCCTTAGAACTTCCATTCTACTACAGTGAACAGTAATAAAAACAACTTCAACTGAGACAGAAGATAAGGCATTGGAAGGGTGAGGGGTAAAAAGGTACGCATCCCAGTCTAGAAATTACCAAACCCTGGATGAATAGTTCTCAAATATTGGAACTCAATGTTAAATGGGAGAGATTTCGAACATGTTGGTGGAGGTCATACCAAAACAAAACAAAAAACAAATCTATCAATTTCATTGATTTTAATATTTTTTATTTTTTAATTTTTTCTTTTGACAATTACAGGTAAAATCAAAAACTACAACCGAACAATGAAATTTTTCTTGGTTTATCTTAGTTCAAAGAGGTCAAGGTGAAAGAATAGACAAATTTCAAGTGATTATAAAACAGAATCTAGGTACAGAAAAAAAGATTAGTGTGAAAGGACTCAGCAAGTTGCATGAGAAAGATCCTTTACTATGGAAAAGGGGTGACTGAATTTTGAATGAGGCTGTAGTAAAAGAAGTCTAATGTCAAAGTAGATTAAAACAAAAAAAAAAATTTTTAACCTCAAGTCTGAAAATTTTACAGAGTAGTTAGCCAAAAATGTGAATTCTGATGCAAAAAGGTTATTACTGTTTAGCCATGTAATGAAGCTGGCTATGGTCAGAAAGTGAGTCAAATTAAACCTTGAGCAATACAAAATCAAGAAAAGAGATTCTAAAATGTTACCTGGGGCTTTAATGGAAACATTTCATGACCGAGTCCCAATGCATTACAAACTCTCCACATTTAGGAAGTCAAGAAATCTAAAAGATCGGCAATACGATATGATTGACAGCCCAGATTTTTCAAATTTATTATTGAATCAAAGTGTCAGGAAGAAGGCAGTTCAAACTGCAAGATACAAAATTTTTATGTAATGTCAAAATAATATAAAAGATTTGATCAGAGGAGCTTGACGAACAAATAAGATGAGCCGAAGTAGGTTGGGGTGTTATAATCTATTGAGTGAGAGATCGAATTACCTACAAATTACCTCTTTTAATTTTTACAAAGGCAAAATTTTTAGAGTGATGACTAAGAAAAAACCGTACACAGATTAAATTTATGAAAAGGGTATCCTGATACGCGAGGGTTATTAAGTTTGAAATAAAATGACATTCAAGGATCATAAAAATTTTCCACTTCCTTGATATGCCACAAGATTTAAAATCCAGTAAACCATCCGTACACATACTACTCGTGGTTCTGAAATGCAAGTGAAGCATACTCAAGAAAAACCAAAAATCCAAGTACTGTGGGAAAGCAGCTATGTTTGAAGCTATTTGAATGCGATCATTAGGTGGTTAAGATCTAGCAAAAAACTAAAACCCTTCTTTTAAAGTTGATTTTTATTCCAAGTGTTGTCATATTCTTTATTTTTTAAGGAAGGTCCAACGAACGAGAGAATTTAGTTATGTAATTTCCATAATAAACAATGAATAGAGTTTGTTCATTTGTTTCACGGCTATTAAGCTGTTAATAAGACAGTCTTAAAAATTAACCAGGTACATGCTTTAAAAACTTTGGATTTCAGAACATTCTACACTTTGTTTGTTAAAACAAGGTGTGACAGGTAAAAAGAACGATGCATTTTAAAGAAAGAAGAGCATGTAACAAATAGGAAAACTGAAAGAAGCGACGGAAAAATATCCAAAAGTAGCACAGTCAACGGATAAATAGAGACAAACATGAACACCAAATTGCAAGAATATAGACGTTAGCTTTTAGTTAATGGTTGTCAAGATGTTATTCAATAGATGTGATTTCCTTTTCTTTTTTTCTTATAAAGAAGTATTAGCATAAGTTTAAAACTACTTTTACCTTGATTTTAAATCCAACTAAAACTATTTTCAAAAGAACCTAGAATTTTTGTCGAAAAATATATCTCATTTTAACATCATAAAAATAAACTCATCAGAAAAAGGAGAATATAGATTCGCTGGACAGGCACATGCTAGCGTTAATCGATAATAAGTTTCAATACAATCCAAAGCTTGGAGAGAATTTTCATTTGGGGAGGAAAAAACTGAAATTTAAATTTTGTAATAAATTTAACTTAACAAAACAAGCATAACATCTCAACTTAAAAAAATATAACCATCTTTAACGACTAACCTTACTTCAAACATAACACTTCCTACTGTTACAAACAAAAAATAAAGTACACGAAGAATACTAGAATTAAAAAATAAAAAGTATGTACAGTTAACTGGTTATCTTAAGCTCAACGAATGATAACAAAAAAAAATAAAAGGATAATAACAAAGAATAGCAAGTTGATGTTCATTAAAAATATACATGTACGAAAATATTTACAAAATTAACAAAAATATACCTGAAGTTAAATAACCTTTGCACTTTTAAAACTTAAAACGCACCAACATTTCATGTTTGCAACAGCTAAAAGAAAATAAATGGAAACTTCATAAATCTTCTTTTAGAAAAAAATAATTTCAATGGATTCCTTTAAAATTTGCTGCTAAATTTCTATTTCAGTTTTAACAATCGATCCATTGATGCAGAGCTGAGAAAATATCCTGTTTGACTTTTTTTTGGCCAACATACATTTTGTAAAAATTTAATTGTTTAAGAGTTCAAAAATACGAATGAACGTTTCATGAAATTCTGCACAGAAAAATCATTCATATGAAGAAAAGACAGTTCCTCGAACTTCGTCTGAAGGGAGCATTCATCTCATATTCATGGTACCACTTACAAATAATTTTCATTGGTCAGATCTTGTGATTTTGAACCGTTCCTTCATTGGAGAAGACTCTTCTCGCCATTTCTTAGATGTAGGGAAGGCTCGACCGGCCGATGAAGCTATTCTTTCTTAACTTTGACCTTGTGAAAAAGGCTAAATAATCAAGCTGCAAATGTCTTATTTTCTCATGAATAAAATGAATACGATCCAGAAATCTTTCAGTAAAGTATCAAACTCGTCACTACAGTATCAAATGATAGCGAATGCTTCAACTTCATTTTTAAACTGGCAGCCTGGTATAGTCAGGATGAAAGTTGACAAGACTTTTGATAATTAGTTGTTAAAATTCAAATTGTGATTAAAACTTTTAATTTTCTTAAAATTTTGTATAAAAAATTAGAAAAATGCAAAATTTACTTCCATAATGATGAAAATGATCTGGCTAAAGGCTGGATTCTAGGGGTAAGATATGGGAGAGAGTATTTACAAAATGCTTGAGAGCAAGAAGTATGTTGGTAAAAATAGCATTAGCAAAGCCACAGTTATTAAAAACAAGATAGTCCAGACAGCAAAGAATAGGAAAAGGATTAAACTGCAAAGCTGCCGTGAGGTTACACAAAAACAACATTGATGCAAACACAGAATGTCCCGGTACAGCGATATAATTACAATAATACGTGGACAGACAAAGTGAATATTCTTTACATTTTGATCAAATAAAAGGTTCAAAGTAGGTGATCGTAAACATACTTTCATTTTTAATCCTAATTTTTAAAAAATTAGGAGAAAATATTACTTTAAAAGTAAAGTGGATACTCATGGTATCAAGTAACATTTCATAAAATTTAAGATACTTAACTTCAAATACCTAGCGATCGTTACATATAAATACGGTTTATCACTTGCTTTATATTTCTAAAAATATGTTCATGGTGACAGACTCAACCAGAGCAAATAATTAAACTTGTGATAAGGTACTAAAAAGAAAGAGGGTAATGGAAATGCTTGAAGCATAGATAGATACTTGAAGAATTAGTGTTATTTTAAAAACAGTTTATCGATTACAAAGGCTTGTGAAAGAAGACAAAAAATTGTTATGAACTGAAAAGATAACAGTACATCCAAAAAAGGTTTAAAAGTATATGAAAAAAAAAAAAAATCTTGGAGCAAAGAAACTAATTGAGATTAAAACCATGACAAAAAAACCTCGCAGACACGAGAATAGAGACAAATAAAGATTGGATCTAAAGTACCTGATCTTTTGATATGTTAAGACCAGAAAATTATTTAATTTTTTATACCTACAAACATAAAATTCCATGCTCTAGATCAGGCTGTAAGTTATGATCATGATCTTACTGTAAACTTTAAGAGGCTCTCAGTAATGTATGTACTAATAGCTTGAAGCTAACTTCGATTTTCAGAAGAACTGCAGATACATTGATAAAAAGCAAAATTTTCAATGCTAATTAGATTAGTTTTTAAACTTTTGAGCGTTTTCACTCAGATATTAGAAAATGAAAGAGACCAGTTTTCATTTATAGTCCCTCATTTAACTCAGCTCTTGCTGAATGTGAGTTCAGAGGACAAAACAAAAAACCAGAGGAGGGGAGAAGGGAATAATTTTAGTTTTATTTTGGTAATACTTTTGCCAGCGGATTAAATGTCATAAAATAAATATTCTCCTCTACTTTACGCTTTTTCATGTTTAACACTAATTACCACACTGAGACCTACTTACATATAATTTATATGTAAACATCAATTTCACATCAGAGTATGGAGAAGCCAATTAGAAACTATAGTGTGCGTCCGATTTTTTTTGCAACAGAGCGTATTTTTTTGCACTAAGTCTAAGTGTTGAAATTGTAATAAAGAGATAGGCACAAAATAAAAATTTATGCTTAAATATGTACAGAGAAGGATCAGAGCATTTGTAAATAGATCATTGAAAAGTTTGGATGTATGAAAAATTAGAATAGACTTTTCCTAGTTGTTGAGAATCTTGTGCATATTCTGTATTGAAAGATGGTATTTTACTATCGATCTGGTTGACTTGGGGAAAAAAATCGCACTAGCACGGAGAACAAATTTTACTGATTAAGAATATAATTTGTTTGCATTTTCAAAGAACTTTTGTACAATAGTGGAAATCATTGAGATCATAAATATACCGATACACAAATGCAATTTAAAGACGGATAATTTAGCAACATTTATAATGATATGAATTTCTACAAATTTCGGTAATCAGGAAAAATCGAATGAAATGCGAAAGTTAGGTTAGAATCATCTGTGCACTTTATGAGGCATTGAGGAGCTTTTCGATGGAAATTTTGCAGGAAACTTAAAAAGCTAAAACTTTAAGAGAGGCTCGAGGAAGTTTTAAAATGCTTCCTTACTAGTACATCCAGCTTACAGAAATCAATTATGAGCCATCCAGTGCATGTGAAACACTTGAAAGACAAAATAATTTCAATTTTTTATATTTTTAAAAATTTAATGTACTTAGTTGTCTGATGATTCATATTAACTAAAATAAATGTAAAAATTAGTGGATATTGAAAACTAAAATAGAAATATAGTTAATCACCATCAACCAAGACGACAAACGAAACATGATTAAAACAATTAAACTCTGTTAAAATCAGACCTGGGCCTACCAAAATCAACCATTCTCCGAAAGGAAGTTTTTTTCCTTTGAAATCTTCAATAGAGGAGATGCGATTATATCATTCTTAACCCTTGCAAAATTACTTTCTTCGAAAATTGAAAGCACATGGATGAACGAAATACACATATTCTGTGATCGCAGTGAGATGTGTGAAAAAGGACTCGAAATGAGAAATTATAAGAATACCAACTGAGCAAGAGAAAAATGGTCTGTTTTTGGTTTTAATTTCTTCATTTGAACGCTACACATTCAACTTGTTTATTTGGTAATGATAGTAACAAAAATTGATACTTCTAAATTATTAGCACAGCTTGATAATAAATAATTGACAAAATGAAAATCCTAAACTTCGGAGGTACATTAGCTTAAAGAGTACCCAGCAAGGAGGTCATATGTGGCCAGATCTGTGAAAAGGGACCCTATTTTCTGGGAGAAAATTTTCCTCATTTTTTTAAAAAAACTTTAACTGAATTTTTCTACAACCTACGAATTTTTGTCAGAGAACTTGGAGCTTCAAATCTCCTTCAAATTTTGAGCTTTCAGGTCCAAAATTGCTCTGAAATATTCACATTTGCTTGTTCCATGCATTTACAAAAAGTTGAGGAAAATTTTCTCCCGGAGGGTAAGGCCCTTTTACACAGACCTGGTCACATGGTAAGCTTGCACTTTTAACCTGCGAGACTACAACTTTTTATGGATGATATCTGAGGTAAACACTACGTTCTTTGACTGGGCAGCATTCACATTCTGGGTTCTGCTCACTCCTTTGAGACAAAAGGAGGTATTTATTGTCTCATGAAAAAAAAGTACATTCATGACCAGATTCAGGGTTAGAAATAAAATTTCACTCTAATGATACTCATTATTCCAGACAAGAATATGCAAGAGGCACAAAATTAAATCAGCTTATGGTCTGCAGTGTCATAACTCAAAAGTTGTACCTCGCAGGGATAAAATTCCTTTTCTTCGATCAATTTTTCATATAACTCAAACAAACTGGCACTCATAAGATTCTTTCCTATTTGTAACCACCTAAGTTTCACATCACAAGGTACAAAGGAATATAGATTATACAGTAAAAATAATTTCCCTGCTTGTAAATTGAAAGGCTTCATTTGTACTACACAGACAAAAATTTCTGAATTCTTGAACATGGCTCAGCAACAAACAATACACAGACTACCTCCAGCAAATCTATAGCTCTTGGTGTGGTGATATTACCCTTGGCTCAAGTTGAATACCTTTGGACTCTAATTGTTAAATGTATAAACACAGGAGGGAAAAGTACTCAGCTTTGAGAGAGAGAAAAAAAAGAAACAAATCAAAGCAGTTCCTTCCCCTTTATCATGAAAATTCACCTTAAGATTGAAGTATGAGCACATTAGAGTCATTTAAATATAAAACCGATCATTTCTCAATTATGGTCAAGAAGCAAGATTGGCATCGAATTAAGACTTGGCTTAAACACTAGACGAATAACACTATTAAAATAATATTCAACTTTTAAGTTACTGTTGCAAAAAAAAATCTACCTGCCAATAGGCATCAGAATAAATCATTAATGATGAGTGAACTAGATTTGGAAGATTTCATGATGGTATGGGAGGCAGGAGGTCATTCGATGGTGTTTCTAATCAGGAAATCAAAAATGCAAGGCACAGAAAATTGATTCTCATTAGTTCTCTGCTATCTACTTGCTTTCAGATGAAACACACTATATCAACGAAAAAATGCCATAGTGATTGATCAACAGTTGCCGATGAACAAAAGAAGTTTCCAAAATATTTAGTTCTTAATTTCACTTGTGAATGGATCGATAAGCTTGCGTGAAACTAACAATCATGAAACCTAGTAACAGCTCATCATTTGTACCACTTTTGTCTGCGCCCTTCAATTCAATCTGGGTAGGAGGGGGATCAAGACAATAACCACGGAGATAATGAGCCGCTACTGGTGAAACTGTTTCTGATCAAAAAAAAATTGCCTTGAACTCAGGGGCCAACTTTCTTGGTATTCAAAATATACCATCAAAGACTTTACTTCCTCACTTAGGATTCAAAATTCTTCAGAAATTTCACTCATTGTTCCTGTACAAACTTCATAGATGTTTTCTGCCACGCTGGTCGGTTTAACCAGCTGCTGCTGCTGATGAGGGCAAACAAACTGCATTCCAAAGCTTATTTTCACATTGAAGCGGAGCCATGCAGAAAGCCCTGTATATTTTGCATGGCAACAACCATTCAAATCTGAAATGCCTACGATTAATATTCTCTTAGAAACTTTGAATTCCAAATTCTATCTCAGCTCCTACAATGACTTGTAAAGGTATCAAATTAGGCTTCCTGACCTAAACTAAAAAAAAAAAATTCAATTCAAAAATTGTGTGGGCAAGTTACAATGGAGGTACTTTTTTTTTGGGGGGGGGGGGGAATTGAAAGTTATGTATTAACACACACTTCTCAGAATACGTCTTAACCAAAAGAACTGTGCCTTCATACCTGCACATTTGGTAATAAACAACATACTCTTGCTGCATCTGCTTATCATGATATTCAAAAGATACATATAATATTCTGAAGTTTCACAGTTTTCATGCAATTTACACGCTTTCCTAGTTTCTTCAAAACTATAACTACTGAATAAACTTTTACGATGTTTTTTCTTAAAACAAGATTCGGTATTTGACTTGCAACTGGTATTTACTCAGTGAAAGCAACCTGTCCGTCTTCCCTTTCTTTGGAAATAATACTTTTTCAAAACTAAAATTGCTAACTCCAGAGCTTTCCTGTTGAATAGAGCGGAAAAAGCTGACCATTTTAAAAGAGCAGAGATCTTTTGACCTTCGACTAGAAATCCTGATTGAAGTAAGCAAGTTATGACTTGATCACTTAGAGCATCATTTTTGCGACACGAATGCCTCATCGATGGATTTACTTTTTAGTGTCTATAAAGTGATAGGGAAGAAGCTACGTCTGACTCATGATCACTGAGATCAGAAATGATAGCAACTTAACAGACATACCTGAAGGACGAAAAAAGCATAGTATTTGCCAAACAATACAGTTCATGTGATGCCCTTACAGGAGCCTGCTTACAACAACTTACGACTAAATAAGAAGAACTGCTGCGTGGAGGATTTAAATGGATGCTCCTTGAGCAGCGAAATAATAATTTGCACTGTAACATGGCCTCAGCTTCCTGATATCCACCTGGTGACAACATCACATCATAAAAAAGAGGGTTTTAATTATTATTTTTGCAACATTCTTTTCAGAAACGTTTTCAAGTTAAAATATATGCTTTCAAATCATCTCAAGTAAGTGCTAGGTATGTAATGGGTCAATGGCACCTATTTTTGTAATTCATTTTCGGAAAGTATGGAGTGAACTGAGCCTTGAGGAATTTTATCAGATTTTTTTTAAACTCTTGATGGCAAAAGAACCCTGTTTTGAGAATGCCAAAAATGGGACCTGTCTGAAACAATATTTTTGCAGGCTCTGATGCTGTAGCCAGGCAGAGGAAATGGCAAGTGCTGCTTGGCTGTGCTCAGCTTTGAGCTTCGAAACTACACTGTCAACTTTTAATTGGTCGGATTTTGATTAGCTTACTTTCCCCTTAAAAGTTTCACAACAGAGCACAGGGGAGAATTTCATGTGCGATGCTGCGCCGTCCGCTCCGCTGCATGTCCGCAGCGCGCAAAGCGCATGACCTTCATTCTTACAATTCTTCTAGTGTTGAATGTTACTGATTACTTCACAAAACAGCATGTAATTTTAAAAGTCAGAAATTAAAAAATAAACAAAAATATTAATTTAACATGAAGTTGTCCATTTAACAGAGTGTCGCTAATTTATTAAAGAGCTGATAACCTAACCTAACCTAACCGCTAAGTCAGTATAAGTCGCTTAATTAGAAAAACAATAATGAATTTTGTGACCTATTTGGACAAAGAATTATGATTCAGGGTTTGTTAAGTCCAAAAAAATGTCAAATCCATCGGTTATCGAACCCGGGATCATACGCACCGCAGGCAAGCATTCTATCCACTCAGCCACCAGACCTCAATGCAGACTGTGGTGAAATTAGCAATATATGAATTTCTCCGTTTGAGAGCTCTCCCTGCTAGAAATGGTTCACCAACCACTCGAAAGCGCAACTGACAGCCACACATGAAATTCTCCCCTGTGCTCAATCGGAAGTTTTAATGAACTTTTTGGTTTTTCAACCGAATTTTACATAAGATAATATACACCATAACTGGGGATAGTTGTGAGTTCACTGTGCGTCAAAACATCTCAGTTTTAGAACATATCAAAACATCTTATTTTTGGCACACATCTCAACATCTACCTTTATCGGTTCCAATGGACAATATTAAGGGAGAAGTAAAGTTAACAAAATAAACCCGGCAAAGAAATAGAAGTAATTACCTCATATGTTGTGAATCTGAGTTATAAATCATCCAAAGCAGTTGATCTGTTACTTTTTTCTCTATCTAGCACTTTATTAACAAAATCTGTTGTCTGTCCAGCAATCTTCACTTCTGTAACACAAAAAGTAAGGAATATATAAGTCAAACCAGTATTAGATTTACTGCTAAAACCTGAAATTAATTCAAAACAAGTAAGTTTTTCCCACAATGTTTGGTGAAACATCTCAGATAATATTAAAATGAGCTTATTTTGAAAAGAATCAATATATTTTGAATGCAGAATTATAAAATAGAGGCATATTGACAGTGAAACTTCCATACCACATATTTTGTTTCCTGTGTTATAATTTGACTTAAAAAGTAATACAATTTAACCAACACCAAAAATTTACAAAAACTTGTGAATGTAACTTACTTGTTGCTTGTTTCACTATCTTGTCTGCCATTTTAAGGAGTTCTTGATGATCGACTTGGCCACCATTTGATTCTTGAGCAAAGGCGCTGTATAGAGTTTGTTTCATTTGAGAAATTCCTGCGATTAACCTTTCTGTAAAAATACAAAATATACAAAAATTAAAGTTAATGGTTCCACTAAACTTTCGTAACCATTGATTACATACATAATCACAGTGAAACCTGTTCATAATGGCATCTTACAGGCCAGAGAAATTCTTCCGTTAACATCAGGTTTCTACTATGGGCAGGTTTATGAGACAGTCAGTCTGTGAAAAATTAAAAACACGTGAAACTAATCGGTTTTTTAAAATTCGATGGACTTGCTTAAAAGCATAAGCTGCGACTTATTATATTTTGGTAAAATTGTGCAATCATAATGTTGTTGATCACTGTGAAGGATAAGCACGGGCACAACTTATGTTGTACAGAGCAAGGGAGGAGGGAAAGAGGGAAGGAGAAAGAATTTGAGTCACAGCAAACTGCCCCGCTACAAACGGAGATAAAAACGAATCAGTTCGACACATTCCTTTAGTTGGTTGCCAATACCACGCCAATTTTCCCTGTTTCTGAATTAATGTTCCGTTAAATTTGCCGAAAATCTTTCTGTTTCCGCGTCTGGCAGGTTCTGCTGAGGCGATTTATTTACATGCATTAACCACAGCAAATCCTTGCGACCGGAGAAAATTTCCCATGAAATTAGTTTTTCCCTCTGAGCACGGTTCGTTACGAACAGGTTTCACTGTACCTTATTTCAAACTAACATCTTAAACCTTTCTTTCCTGGCTGGATAAAAATTAAATTTCCATCACCTTCAGGGTGAGGAGTGAAATTCAAACTTTGTCGATGCAATCATGATTTTTTACACATTTTCCACCGGTAAAATTCTTCTTTGGCTCTAGCTGAAGTTCGCAATAGATTCTTAACATTGGAATTTTGCAAATTTTCACATGAAATCTTTTTACTTATTAACTAATGGGTGCAAATATTGCATAAGAAAATTTAAAATTATTCTTGAGTAAATAAATGAAATGTCAAGGGAAACTTATCATCCTAGCAGACATTATCGCGGACATTATTAACAGACATATCATTCTAGGGGACATTACTTGAGCACACTACCACTGTTCCAGTAAAGAAATTCATGAAAATTTGTGGTTCGATAAATTCTAAGGTTCTCTAAAGAAAATGCTGACAGCAATTGAGTTAAACGATTAATTAGCCCTGATTGCTTCTTAATGGAAAAACATCATTGAGATTTAAAAACTGTACTTACTATGTTCTGTTTCCAGACCTACTAATTTGATCTTATTTGCTTCATGTTGAGCCTTCTTTTTCAATCGACAAGCCCTGAGAATAGAGAAAATAAAGTTAAGATGGAATAAAATTGTATTACATTTTTTAAACATTGAAGAAAAAACGCTTGTAAAGCGACACAGAAGAAAGCAAACAGAAAGGGTGGAGGAAGCATGATTTAATTATAAGCACATATTATGATTTTCATGATTTATGCTGATTTTCTTCTGATTTACACAATTATTGTTGCTTAGCATACCAATATTTTTATTTTCTTAAAAAATACCCCATGGATTTAATTGAGTCATTTTGTCACGTCCGTCTTATCTGAATTGGTTCAATTGATTCATAAAAGAAAAACAAAATCTTAGGATTAGTCCGAAGTTCAAACCATGATTGTCTCTATTAATGATTTTTTAAGACTTTGAAGTGGATCGTCTCTAAAGCTGTTCGCAGAGCCAGCAAACTTAGACAGTGTTTTGACAGTGAATTCCGAGTTTTTTGTCCTTGAACTTTGAATTGCGCTATAGGGTCAATATTAGGAAATTTTGAGTGTTCTTTACACCAAATGAGGCAGAAAGAACCTACATTGAGGTATAGTTATCTCACTTTCCTTATTTTCTGCTTCTATCCGTCTCAATTACAAATGGAGGGGCAATCATCAATTTCCACTTGAGCAGGTATTTAGTTACTTCTTAGAATGAGGATGAATTTAGTGGCAAGAGTTACCTGGACGCAAGTTTATTTTTCTCTCGTCTTGTTTTGCTCCTAGCATTATAAGGTAATTCATTGACTGGAGCTATGTCGTGGATTATATGCGTAAGTTTGTCCAATTCTTTACCGATCACATGTAGCTTGGCAGGATTTGGTGTAAGATCATTGCCATCTCCTTTCCTTGCTTTCCCACTGAAAAAATTCATCAACAAATAAGTTAGTGACTGCATGAGGCTATTTTGAACTAAATAGTCTGTATACAAGCTTTTACAGCTCAACTCCTACCTAAAGTGACCCTCCAGCTAGAGTAGCACAGGCACCATACACGCTTAGATGCTATTTTGCCAAACATCTCAATACTGTTTTAATTTTTCCCATAAAACTTCAGTGTGTACTTTTATGAAAAATTCAGGTATAGGTCTTAATGACATATGAAACATTAAGTAACTTTTTCTGGTGATTCTGATCATTAATTTTTCCATAAAAATTGGACAAGATTGAAAGATTTTACAACAGAGTGCCTAGAAGCACAAATGATACTTGAGAAACTTTGACTGGAAGGTGGCGCATTGATAAGTTCCAATACAATGTGAGTGACTTTGAAAATACACAGAACCAGGTACGTCATCTTTAAATAAGATGCACTTTACCAAATACAAAAGGAAGAGGACAGATATGATAACTCAATTTGAAATAATAGAATACAATCCTTAACAATATAATGAAGGAATCAAATGAAATAACAACAACTTTGGAGGATACTAGAGCAAGATACCCATTACAACCCATGAATTAAAATCATGTGCCTCTCAATTCTTGACGGTCTAGACATAAAAAGGCAATAATGAGTGGCAGAGGTTCACTGACATCCAATTCTGCTACTCCTAGGATCTGTTCTGGCCACACGGTGTTATAAAAGCACGAAAGCTATTTGAGGTATTTTGATCACATGGAAAGAGAGTGACACAGAAACCAGCCAAGCTGAGTCTATTCACCTTTGATGTGAGCAATGTCAGCACAGGAGAGAGACTAAAATATTTAAAGGGAGATTAAGAGAGTGAAAATCAGAGGACAAGGAGGGTGGAGGAATCCTGTGATGAATACACTTGTATAGAATTACTCACACTGCCTTGGAACTTACTGAACTACCTCATTGAATTTGAGATCAAACCTCGAATGAGCCGAGTTATCAAGTAAGAAAAACTGGTTTGACCACTATTAAAATTCGAAAGATGATAATCACACAAATGAGAGAAAGCATTTACGAGGAAAACAAGCATTCTTCAATGCTACTTTATATCTTGACTACAAGTGCATTTTTCGTTCATTGTTTAGGCTGAATTTTCTTCCTCCTGACTTTATTTGGAGTTTGCCTGCAAATCTTGAAATTGATCATAACCATCACAAGCTGTGCATGTGCCCAAGCTAAAATTAGTGATCAAGAATCTTTCATGAAAGCAGTTCATACTGCTCAAGATTCAATTCCTTATTCAATTCAAAACAACAAGGTTTCAATGGCAGCATAGTTGAATGAAATGGCTTTCAAACTTAGAATATACTAAAAAATCTCATATGAATTAAGAACGAGCTGACTATTTACTTGATTTTTTTAGAGGAAAAATAAGAAGAAAAAAGTTGAAAAAGAGCCTTCAGAGGAGTAAAAAACGTTATCATAACTCAGAATTAGCAAAATTTTCATTATTATGTTCTTATTTATTGAGAAATATTGATTTGAATTTTAAAACTTGTTCACAAATGCCTCAAAAGCTGCAAAAAACTTGTGCTATTTTAGAGTTCATTATTCACTTTTCTTAAAAAGATTCTCTTCTTTTTTTCCCCTTTTTTTTGTCCGGGGGGGTGGGGGGGCTTCATCTTGCAGTATTGAAGTTATACCCAATTTTTACTTTCATTCTATTCCTTTTAAAAACAGCATGTACTTATACGCAGAAATGATACGAATCCAAAATCTTTCGAAAACAAAAAGCATACGATGAATATTTCGGGAGGAAATATAAGTTTCTCTGAGTTGACTATACCTGTGTTTAATTCCTTGCACAGCACATTGAGGACTGAATACAGGATCAGTGATTTCGTTCAAGAAATGAGGATCTTCGGGTTTTGTATTTAAGACTAGCCGTTGACCTTTCGGGCCTTTGGACTGAACGTTATACTGCCAGAAAGCTTTCTCTTTCTTCTTCTGCCCAGGTGTGCCACCTTCATTATCACTACCGGAGTCTGAAAGGAAAACATTAATATTAACTTAAAGAGAAGGTGATACAGAGGTATTGGTTTCAACTACTCATCAAATAATTCATTCATAGTCTATGCGATGAGGCAACCTTGCAACCTCTTCATAGGATACTGGCCTGATATAAAATCAATGGAATTGGAGAGGCAATAAGCAAAGCTCTTATCCTCTGATAGGATTTCTTCAGGTTTTCATACCCTTAATGAGTTCTTTGATCTCTTGAGCAAGATTCTTGAATAACTTATCACAATCTATAATATGAAATCATAAGAGCAGTATGTAACATTGTGGATGTTAGCTTATCGTGTCACGTACGTCCCTGGCCCTGTTCCCAACATGGTATAAAAATTAGAAAAAATGGGGAGGGGAGGTGATTCGAAAAATGTGATTCATAATGAAGTTTGGCCAGGAATTTTTGATTTATAAATCAATTTTTCTTATTTGAGAGGCGCAAAGCGCTTAGGGGTGGGGGGGAGTTGGGCTGCAAAGTAGGCAGGGAGCACACCCCCTTACTTGCAATGAAATGAAAATTTTTGGAGGTCTTTAGTTCAGGATTCACTTGTTGATAATGCTTTCCAGGAGCTGTAAATTTTCAGCATCTTTAAAAATTGTATGCTAACTTGCCGCTTTCCAAAATGTTAAATACTGATGATTAATATATCATCATGACTTGATAAAATAATACAATTTGATCCCCCTCTTTGCAGGTTTAAAAATTAGGTTAAATTAAAGATAGGAGTCTTGAACTTGGAACTGATTGATTTTAAGTAAATACACAACTTTAGGAGGATTCATATAAAAAAAAAGTAAGCACAAAATTAAAACTACTGTATTTTTATTCTAACTAGAGAACGATAATTGTTGGAACTGCACTTAGCTTTTGGGACAAAATGGTCTTTCCAAATTATGTTCTGTGCTTTACTTAAAGAGACCAAATCTGGTCGACCCTCTCTTTAAATTGGATGGCGGACAAAGAAAAATGTTGTATGAGCCAAGGAGGAAAATAAAATAAAACTGCATGAAGGCTGACAGGAAAAAAATTATCATGAGAATGCTAAATCGATAGCACACTTCTAAACTGAGCGATCATCATTCATCACGTGTAATATTTGTCGGAGGGATAATTGATTCCCTTTCACTCCATTAGGAGGCAGTGGTGTAAAACCTGACTTAATCACTAGAGATAACCCATGACATTACTCAAATAGTACTTAGTTCACAAAATGTAAACAAAGCAACTGAGAATGCCTTTACTTGCCTACCGATGAAAATACTGATAAAATGACTCACACTTTGAGAACCAGCATGATAAATTAGAAATTTGCCCCTTACAGAAATTTTACTCTTTCCCTCTAAGGAGATTCAACATCAACATACTTAGCATTAAAAGAGAAGAAAGAGGGGGAAAAGAGGGGGAAGGTATAAGACTGAGGAAAGAAGAAATGAGAGTATCAGAAAACCTCAAACCCAGAGGTTAGTTCATTCATTGTGAGAAAACTTACAACAAATATGAGTGATAATAAAAGAGAAAAGAGAACCAACACACGCTTTTGCTCACTCTCTCACAATAATAAAAAAAAAAAATAAAAAATATGAACATCAATTCATGCAAATTAAATCACTCTTATTCCACGCCGCAACTGATAACATACCTACTAATTTTTTTCTCTCTCTGATACTGATTAAACCATTATGTAACAGTAACAACCTCAGTTCGTATGAGTACCAACTATAAACTTAGAATTCTTGCAGAACGCCACTGAACTTTTATCTTTTATCTTGTTACCTCTTCCTTTAACAGAGATAATTCTATCTCTTGCACCATTTCAACTGATTAGATCATTCAAAGAAACAAATTGAGATCAGTGGTACAATGTTATGATTAGCATAAGTTGATTACATGAGTGTCATTTCATTGAATACTTCGTTCAACATGGGGTCTTGACTGAATCATGTTTATAATAGTGCTCTGATAAAAAAAAAAAAAAAAAAAAAAAAAAAAAAAAAACTCATTTTTGTTATTGTGTGAAGTTTGAATGGACAACTCAAGGAAGTCTTCTGATTGGTCAAGAAGCAGCATACTTTCCGATACAGCAAAGACCAGAATTTAGTCACTTGACATCGTAGGTCACGATTTCTAAAAATTAGAAGCCAGATTTTCTACCTTGCATTGATAACCACAGACTTGTGGGGGTTCCTTCAACATGCCCGAGTTTGACTTTTTAACACACTCTTGATATTTTCAGCAAGAAAAATTACATAATAAGGGAGGTCGACAGGGCCTCCTCCAGCAGGCAACACTTTTTTTCTTGTGCTTCCCCCATTTTTCACCCCTGCCTAGGTTACCTGCAACCCAGTAAATTTGGGCATGTTCTTACTAAAGCTATCTCCTCTCCCCATTGAGCACCTCTCGAATCAATATTATTTGATTGAGTCTCAGTAGGGGTGGTTGGTGTACCTATCTATAAGTGATGAAAATTTGGATCTTGAGATTTCTCCAAATTTTTTTGCTCAGTGTTTTTCATCTCCACAACCAAATGAGAATACACGGAAAAATAAACATTCATACAACACTTGTTACGTCCTCAGGTTGAGGACAGTAAAAAATTAACAGTGTCAAAAGATCTAAGCAAAGTGAATAAATTAAGAAATTAAGTGTTTTACCTCCATCTGAAGAGTAATCCTCATCATGATCATCACTGTCATCATCACTGTCATCAAATGAGAACTCTGTTGGATCTGGACTCAGAATGCCTCCTGAGAACAAAAACAAAATACATCATGAACTGTACACTTCATTTTACAAATCACAATCAAAAGTAGAGGCTGGAAACCATTCTAACTAAAGTGATTTTAGGTGGTAAAAGTTAATGCAGCTGAAAGCAGTTTTAGTTCAACAAATCCTTAGACAGACCATTAATATAGGAAGTTTTGTGCCCACCAAAACAAATTCTTCTACTTTTCATGGGAGATTTCCATATTCAGTGAAAAGACCAACTTTGCCCACTCACTTAGGTTTCCTCAATATTTTATGGGAAATAAAATCATCGATACAAATAAAAAAAACTGACAATTAAAATGTTTTACCACCAAATTAAACTGCTAAATAGAGAGCAAAAAATATTTGCTACCTTCCTTCAATCCACAAAAAAAGAGCAAAATTGAGTAAAAGGGAATAAGTGGGCTATCAAGCTTCGTGTTTTGTTTGTGGGCATTTCTTCAATAATTTGACCCTTATAATTGTGTTCCTCATTGCTTTATGTGATGAAAAAATAGCTACAGTGAAAGAAAACTGAAACGTAACCAAAAATCAGAGTAGAAGCAGGAAATTGTGTGTAAAGACATACCTGTTGAAAGGGATGATGTGGAGCCTCCTTCGGCAAGTGAACTGGTAGAGAGCAAATGGTTGCGCGACTCTCGCCGTGCCCATATTTGTTCATGCCTCAGAGCATCCATGTGCGTCGGTGCCGAGGAAGAAAGTCGCGAAAAATTACTTGAACCATAACGTGGAGCAGGGATCCCAATGGAAGTATACTGGGACAAGTGACTGCCTGAGCCTGGAACTGACTGGCCCAATGGATGCTGAGCCTCGGGAGACAAGGAACTATTTTTCTTCAAAAGCAGATCGTGGAGGGTGCTCGGTTTTTGCAATGGAGGGGTGAGAAGTGACGAGCTAGAGCTGTGACTAACTGGCGAAAGAGCGGTTTGATACTGTTTATCTGATGTTCCAATGATGACAGGATTCAGGGGACTAGACGGCATACTTGTTGAAGCAATGTGAGAGTCTCTGTATAAAATCGTGGAATCAGGGGGAAATGACGATGCGACATTGGTGTTGGAGATTGATACAGCCGCCAGGGCTTGAGTATCAAGCGGACTGCTCTGCTGTTTGTTCACTGGTTCAATATAATTGTTGAAACAGTTAGTAGCATCAGGCAATATCATATCATCAAAATTAAGGCCTTCTAAAGGATCACTGGTACTGTTGTTGAGCCCGTTTAATTCTGCTAGTGTAAGATCCTGAAGTGGGTTGGTTGTGTCTTGGAAAATGTCATCGTCATCCATTTTAACGTCTAGAAAATTACTATTAGTTATCACAGGATCCCACAATTGTGAGTTATTTCCGGGAAACAGAGATGATTCCAGGACGTTCGTTGGATCTGGCACTAGATTACTGTACGGGGAAACAGAATATTGGTCAAGTCCAGAAAAATCCGTTAGTTCATTCATTCGACGAGCCGGAATGGGGACGCTGGCAGATGGATTTTGGGAGCCCATTATTGTATCCTGAGAGGGTTCTGATTTCAATGGAAAGTTGGTGTCAAACCCTGAGTATAGTGGATCAGTCATTATGGTGTAGTGGTGGAATCTTCAAATAGATTTAATGAATTGTGACCATAAAACTCTGAAACAGAAAAGGTAGAGAAAATTAGAGTAATAAAGGAAAATGATTCTTGCATTTACTTGCAATGGTGATTTCATTTTTTGTGGCAGTCTTAAAGTTGGTCGCATCACTTAGAGTGGCTTCTATCTCTATTTAGTGTAATGATGTATTGAAAGATTGCAGTTCATCCTGAGACCACTGGTCCATTAAGATTTGCATCAAAACGCTACTCAACTTTAAAATCTCAGCCAACTGTTGCAAAATTGTACGGATAGTCAGCAATTTATAGATACTAGCGTTAAAGTTGATTATTTACACAGCAAGTGGATGAAGGGAGGAAAAGTCCTTCCTCGTAATTTAGGATTGATCAATGAATATTTTCAGGGTTGTTTGCGAATTTTCATTCGAACAGCTTCAGGTGTTTTTTGAAGGATAGCAAGGTGCAAAAAATTCAAGTTACTCAGACGTCTATTTTTTTAAAAAAAAAAATTGAATCTTCAATGTACGGTACAAACAAAAAACTGGGATGGCTCTTTCAGACAAATTGTGGATGTGACAGCAGGAACTCGAACATTATTCTTTTTTCTGCTTTTACCGTGATGATTATGAAGCTGAAACAATATAGGTAAACCAATTTTTCATGTGTGCCTTCAGAGGATGGCAAAAGAGCTTAGGACTGCACCAAGAATAGAGATTCGATGAAACACTTTACTTCAAAAAAGGTCAAATACCTTATCCCTTCAAAGACTTAAGCTCGCACCAACTTCATTTAAATATTAAAGCACTCTCCGCCAAAATAAATGGGGAGTGGTGCTCTTTTTGCTGCATATCCGAATCAAAACACACTATGCTAATCCAAGCATGCTTCCTCCAGTTCTCAATTACCATTTTGGGAAAAGTAATTACAAGTCTAAGCCCCTTAAAGAAGGATTTCTAGAAACCTACTAAGAGGAAAAATTTAAAAACTCTGGATTTTTTGTCCTAAACGTATGTTCCCGTCCGACTAGTATGGTTTTGATTGGGTAAGACCTTGAAATAAGTAATAATTTTGATGCTAAATATCTAAACGGACAGCCCCTTTGCAACCAACTGACAAGTATGACCACATAAATTGATAGCAACTAAGATGAGATGAATTGATCCATGTGTCTTGAGAGTAGACTCATAATAGAATCAACTAATTCTATCTTAATCAGGGAATCTGGAGGAGCGTACCCGAAAATTTCAGAGTAATTGAGTGTAAGAGGCATTTACTGAGGTGCATATCAACTTAAATGTATGAATTAAAAGCAAAAGCTGCTTGTTGTTAGGCCCGAGGGTTGAGAATAGTTATCTCATGGTCATAATGAAAACATATGTGTATAAGGTTACTCCAGAAAAACACAAAGAAGCCACACTCTCATTTCAGTGTGGGTGTTCAGGGGCTGAAAAATAGCATTTCAACAACACAGTAGAGACTGGTTACACAAAAAAACGAAGTAGAGCTGGAATTCTGACCTAATTCTCATTTAGAAGCCGAAGGAAACATTTTTCTTCCATGAAGACTTTCAAATAATCAATGTTTTGAGGTTAAATGTGAGGGTGTTATGTATGTGTAGAGTTGTCCACTTTCCTAGGTGGTGCAATTGCTAATACATACAATAATTCGACAAACAGAAAAATATGATGAATTACGAACCTTGGTAGAGCTTTAAAAAGTTTGAAGCCTACATAACCCAGTAAAATTTATGGAAATGCATTGCTTCAAAACGTGTTTACGAAGTTATATCCTTGATAGCACAACAAAATGACCATGACTTTCGATCAAAATTCAAGTATAACCACCACGCTGTAAAAGTACGCTAACAAATAATTCACTAAACACTTAACTTCTCCGAACGATAACGGAAAATGAACTATGTATTTTATAATTTTAAGTAGATAATTACTAAAACACAAATTTCAGAGCCTAGTTTCAGCCCAGCAAGTTGTTTATTTACTAAAGTATCGCATCACTCGAGAAAATATGCCTAAAGGTCACATGAACCAATCAATGTCGTTGTTGTTGTTATTGCTGAATTGTGTTGACGTCACGCGTTGAAAGAATTCACTTTTTCAAGTGTTCAGTACATAGCTTATTACACTAAATCAAAAGCACTCTCTCTTTCCACTTTACTTATAATTTTACCAATTCTGGTTGATTACTTTTACAGAGAGACAAAAAATCATGTTTTTTCATTTTGTTAAATTCTAATTCAGGCCTTAAAATCAATTTTCAATGCTAATTGAAAATGTGAGAAATATCATGAGATGCGAATTTTAGTTCTTGAAGTTACCGCACATGACGGAAGATAACAGGTTCGCTCGGTGGTGGGGGTTTGTTTGTTTACTTGTTATGGTGAGCGAGCTATCACATCACATCCTCCTCCTCAGGGACGAGTTCTATAGGACGCCGTTCTGTTGTGAGCGGGTGATTGCAGCGCATTCTCGCGTAGGATCCTAGTCAACTCAGAGGATCCTTCCCCCCGAACCTCGCCTCATCCATCGCCCGCTCCAAAAGTGAGGTTAAGCCGGAGATTGAAAAATAACACATAAGGCGGCTGAATTCTTGAAAAATAAGTATATTTTTGGCGTTTTTCGACCCCTGTCGACAAGGAAGGGCCTGCCGCATGTAATAACACAGTGAAAAATTCGATTTTTTGCAGTTATACGCGATCCTACGGATTTTAATGAAGTCCAACAACTGATAACAGCAGTGAGTTGCGAGGATCCTACGCGAGAATGCAGCACTAGTACCTGCTCACGAATTTTTACATTGACTCTTACGGGAGTCCAGGGTCCTATAGAACTGGTCCCTGTCCTCCTCTAGAATTTCTCTTTTTGTTGTACTTTTTTTTGTTTTTTTGTTCTGCCTCTATTAAATTTATAATGTGTGACAGCAAGCATCAGACAGATTGGCTTACACTCGTTCAGAATGCAGAGAAAACGGCCCTCTTAAAAAATGGTAATTTTATTCTGGATCAGGATTCTAAGCCCCACATGGATAATGTGGTCAATGCGTGCACATGATATTTGTAATAGTTTGTGACCTTCGGCTATCAACCCACCATTTTCAAATTTGTTTACTTGTCTCACAGTGCCAGTAAACAAGACCATGCTCATTGTTTCAAAAGGAGGCAAGCGTCAAACCTACCCCTATGGCAGCTGAATTGATCTGACACCCCTGACGACAGTGTTGTTATATCTACTTCAACTGAAAGCTTTTAAATAGCATCTATCATGCCGATAATGCAAGCTACTTACCCATTCTTTGCAACTGCGGCAACACAAATCTTGTTTGCGGTGTTATAAAATCTTTACACTCATTTAAATTTATTGAAAAAGAATAAACCAATATAATTGCTTGATATTTTCATAGAATCTTCTTCACACACAGAGGGAAAATCAATTAAGCTTTTACGAAGTGACATTGTGTATTTTCCATGTAAAAAATATGATATAACAGGAAGACTGCAGTGTTCCCCACAGAGACACGCATTCCTTCAGTTTTACTGTCAACATGTGTAACTAGTATTTTGGTAATTGTAGGTACAACCTGTATTACAAGTTAAATTTCTGTTTCTGTTCTGGTTGCTAACTGAATATTCACAGCAATTTACTAACTTAGGTTTTCCAGTACCTTCTGTCATGGATAAATGTGACTTAAGCGCTATTTTTTTTTCTCTCTCTCTTGGACTTATTCCAAATTACGATCCAACTGATCAGGATTGTAGGATTTACTTTTTCCTCTCAAGTTTCTGGACCTGAGCACAAGCTTTCAAACTTCCCCAAAATCAAAAGAAACTCTAATTTTTAAAGTTCAGTTATGGTTCTCTGAATTCGCATACCTTCTCTAAGGCGATTTGTTAGGTAACCTGAATTTTTTGCATTCCAGATAGTGATACTTTTTACCGAATAGAATAGAATATGAATGCTAAGTCAAATTGAAGGAAAGGAAAATCTACTAATTAAATAAATGACTTACTCATATTTTTTTTTTTTTTTTTTCAGGCATCATGAAAGTTCATTATAAAATGCCTAATGGTCAAGAGATGGTGGAAGAATACAGTCCAGAAACAAATGTCCTCTTAAGGAGAGCATGGCGAAAGCAAGGACTCAAGGAAGAAAGTCATTGGGAGGTTGAATTAGGAGATGCGGAACCGCAATTCCAGAAACTTGAAACTATTGGAATAGTCGAGAGTAATTCCTCTGTATGTAATTCTCATTTTAATTTTCTTTTTTTGCTTTTTTTTAATCTGAAAATTACTGTACTACTTATGTTGTTGTTGTTGTTTGTTTGTTTAGGATGATTGGCCTAATTCCACCTTGCGGATAAACAGCCACTCTCAACAAATACTGATTGAGGAAATGGGCTCTTAAAAACTGAATTTTGAAAGAAAAACAAAGGGGAAAAAATATGTAGAGTTTAGAAAGGAAACTCCATATTATTCCTCTCTAAAGAAACAAATGTAATTGGCCAGCTCCATCATGAATATAATAAAATGCATTCAAACAATATTTAAAAGCTGCAATGTTATAGTTTTGTATGTTTTTCTTAACGTAAACCATCAGAGCATTTCTTTAATTTGGTTCTAAAATATTACAAATGACAATACTTTCTAGAAAATTCAATCGAAAGAATTTTTTCTCCTCCTCAAGAAAGTAATTCATTGCCCTAAGGAAACTAAATGAGCATGATAGACAGAAAAGAAATGCGGACATCAAACCCGCTCACTTCTGATTGGCTCGCTCAACTCGTTCGACACAGGTCTGTGTATACAAGTCTTGTTTTCAGGAGCTTCATTCGTGTGTTGGTAAGACGCGTTCAGAATCATTGTCTGTGTACGAGAGTTCTGTTAATGCATCAAGAACTTTTTTTCCCTTGATGCTTTTCTTCAGCTGTTGCGTTCATACTCACCTTAATGAAAATCTTCAAAAGTTGTTCACAAAAAAAAAAGAAAAGAAAAAAATTAGTGGCTCAGCTTATGCTAGAATTGAGGGGCTTGGAAGACAAAGTGCATAAGTGCAGTTTTTGCCATTTCAAGAAATATGAGTAAGTTGGATTTTAGTTTTACTGTGTTGCTCATTAGTGTTTTTGCTGTGGCTATAATTTGCATATATTTTTTGTTTCTTATCAGCCATACGTCACCAAACGTCTTACCAAATCCAATATTGAGTGGAGGATACGGAATCTACCATATGATGAAAATGTTTACAGAGTCACTGCCAATCAGGAAGATGACTGCATTGTTATTAGCACTACAAACAAAAAATATTACAAAAAACTAGAGGTTCCTGAACTTCAACGAGTAAATCTTAGACCATGTCAGAGTAATATTAAATTCACACACAAGTTCAAAACACTGATTATAACGGTAAGTCGCAAGTTTTTGAGGAATATTTTTCTTTGGGTGAACTTCCACCAAATCTGATACGTACAGAGACCCTCGACTGTTGTTTGTACATTTTGATTAAACAGTGAAAAACAGCAAGGCGAATGGTGCAAGGCAAGCAGAATGGTGGTCGCATTTCGTACCCTCTGGACGTCAGATGGTATCGGGTACATAGGCCGGCTCAACCTCGAATTGCACGACAAAACCTGCACTTTTACTGACATCACAACGCTTCAAAATCGAAATGCGACCACCATTCTTTATCTGCCTTGAAGAACAGGGTCTTTGCGGGTATTACAATGTCTAATTCCAGGGAAAACTTACCGGCCCTGGGCTAGGCTCAATGTGGTATCGTTCCAATTGCTTCCATGCCGGGTCTTGCCTTACTGACACGTCCCTTCTTAACGAGTATCCTGCATTGTAAAAAAATTGCTGACCAATTTATCCAATGGTTGTTGTGTAAAATTTTCCATTATTTTCTCAGATTTGAATTCAACTTGCGATCCTGTTGCAATAAATGTGTATACAATTGTAAGTGAGCACGTATATTGGTAAGCCATGAAGCATGAGGTAATATTGAAGAGCTCAAAAGGGATTCGCACATTTCATGATACAATAACTCACCAATATACTCACTCACACTTGTACACATCTTTCATCAGGAAAGGAATCCAAATCCATAAAAATGAATTAAAATTTCACCAACCATGAAAAATTTTTTCAGCTGTTTTTTCCTAACCGCTAGGCAGGGGGCACATTGAAAAGGGACGCGCTGGCAGGTAAGGAACCAGCGTCGATGCATTTTGAACAATACCGAAGTGAGCCTGGCCTACAGCCGACAAGTACCTGCCAAAGTCGGATGTTGTGATTCTCTGTGTGCACGAAAATGCCTTCTATTTTACCCTATCTAATTTGAACGCTTAAAATATAGCCTTTTGCCTTCTTGTGGAAACTTCCGCCTTTGAAATTTTTCTTGTTCAACCTGTAACATAATATTTACTATTCATGGAAGCATGGCCAGACAGCCTGTCTGGTACCTATAATCTCATTCCAAAAATGATAGATGACAGGTCGCCCATGGAGGTATTAATTAGACTGGCTTCCCGCCGGAAGGAAACGTAACGGGCGCCCAGCCAAGTCTTGGATGGATGGCATTCAAGAAGGAATTAAATTATATAATTTTCCAGGCAAACCCTGATTAGGTAGAAAAAAGTGGCAATTAGGTGTCGCCAATTAAGATACAAGTTTGCATAGTCTCACTTTCAGAAAGGCAGCTTTAGGTGAGATTCATACATATATTTTTAATAGGTAGTGTAGTTAGAAATTTGTTTTCCAAGGTAGACAAAAAGGAGCAATGGATGCTCATTGATTGACTGCCAATTTTACTTTTTACCGATTCATTGACCTCTTGAAAATACCCTGGGCAACATCTCGTACTTTTGTTTTCTCTTCCACAGTAAAAGCGGATCCAGCAATTTGGCAACATTGTTTTCTCTCCATTTGAATCTCTGCTGAATAATCAATCCTTGTCGGCGCTCTAGCCCCTGAGAATCAATTGGGCTTCATTAAGCAGAAAGGAACCAAGCCACATTGGCTATTACCACATTTAATTGATTCAATTATTAATATGAATACGGTTGTGCAGATTTTTGTGTAAATTTCAGTGAATTTTCTGCATAATACGAGGCAAATTTCTTTAAATTTTCGAAGGAATCCGCAATTAAGTTCTCTTGTAAAAAATTTAAGCGCCCAGTCAAATTTGGCAATATCTGACGTGGCTTGGTTCCTTTCTGCTAAAGGCAGTCCAATTATTTCATTTCCACAGGTGTCAATGTAGAGAAAGCAGTACCACCAACTTGCTGAAACTGCCAATATCTATCAGTGAATTTTGTTTGTAGCTGATCGTGATTTTTCTCATTTTTTTCAGTATGAGAAACCAAAAGAAGTACTCGAGTTAGAAGCTGCTGTTTTAAAAGAATTGAAATCGGTGAAGACTGTCAAAGATACTGACTTGGACTGCAAAACAAGCTGAAGAGGTCAAAAGCACACTAATGAATTATTAAGTGCTACCTATGTTGTAAAAAATATTTGATGACATCTGTCATTTTGAAAAGTGACAGTTCATTGCTAGTCAAATAATCAGAAGATGAGATGTAAATATTGAATTTTAAAGTAAATGAAAAGTCGAAAAATTTTACTCCGTAAGAGAATCAAGTATTCGCAAAACAATAGTACTGACAACATAATGTATTTCCTACTCAGGCAAAAGAAGCCTGCTTTCCTTCAGAAAATCCATGGCACGACTTCTTCTGCCTGAGAAAGTTCATTTTATCAATGCTAAAAGCGCTAGATACCTTCATTAAGTATACCTTCTTATATTAGTCTGTGTCTACTATGAAAAAATTACCACAAGGACGAGATAACATATAATAATGCAATAGCAATTGCCTTATTGAGATTAACCAAATGATTTTTTACATTCCGACAATGTCCATTGTAAACTTACCTAATCAGTTAATTTCATTCCCTTCCTTTTCCCCGAGGATTTCAAAACTCTTTGCTTTGCGCATCATTATCAATGCAAAATTTATCAATACAAAAAAAATTGAACTCAAACCTTGCATGCTAAATGAATCTGTTTTTGAGGGCATACCTATCTCTGCTCATGATGAAAGTAGAATTTAAGTAGGCATTTGGACCGTTGGACCAATCTTCATATTATTTGCTAAGGTTTAAGCTTGAACCATCAAAATGCAATTCTATGACTTGCGCCAATTATCTATTGTCTTATACAGAATCTTCCATTATAAGTCCAAACACTGCTTTGGATGTAGAGGTAAAGAATTTTATAATGGATGCATGGCTAAGCTGGCCTATTATCAACCCAAATTCTGAATAATTCATCCGAGTATCTGCACCTTTGAGAAAGTGATGAAGGAATCATAGATTCCAAAAAATCTTTAATTGCAATTTGTCTTAGTTCAAGATCAAAGTTTCATTGTCATTTTTTACACTATACATGTCATTTTGCACTTTAGTAAACATTTCACCAGCTTTTTTTTAAATTTTTGAATATTGTCTTTCACCTTTTAAACTTTTGTACCCTGTCTTGAAAGAATACAGTTTTTTTCTTTTCATCCTAGGTCTTATGTTTTTATTAACTGGGACTGGCCAAGACTGCCGCGCCCAAATCCTATCGCAGTTGACGACTAACTCCAGGGATGCCCTAAAATATTTTTGTAAGAATACCACAATCCCCATACAAAAATTTCGTTTTAATAGAGTTTGCAAGTTAAAGTGTGCAAACGCCCTAAAACATTAACTAAAGATCACGCCGAATTTTATGCAATAATGATGTGTCATCCTTCAAGGAAGTAAAATAAGGCGGGAGTTATGGAATCGGAGAATCAAGGTATCAATGCTGAAACTGCACTTATGCATACCTGGGTCTGCGGCATTTCAAACTTCCTGTTTTACTTTCTTTTTTACATGAACACAATAGATGTATTTTCTCAAAAACTCAGGTGATTTTTTCCCTCACTTTGTGAAGAGTATTCTGTGAAAATTTCAAGCCCTGATGTTGGTTTGGTCTCCTTTTAAAAAATAAATAAGGAGTGGAGACTTCAAGACTCTATTATGGAGATACACATTTTTGCAGTTTCTCTGTTAATATGTGCTTTAGTATTTTCACTGTCAAGCTATTACTTAATTATATAAGCGTAACTGACGTGTAATTGAAAGGTGAAGATTACCAGGGATCATCCTCACATCGTCTCACCTTCTTCGCAAATTGAGTCTGCACCCAACTCCTGTCATTGACACTCCTCTGAGTAATCCACTCTTGTTCTCAGGAGAATAAAGGATAAATTGTCAAAATGTAAAATTCTTCTTTTAAAAGAAATTTACTCCTACTTATTAAAGAATGCCAAAAGGTAAACTGAATATTTCTTTTCCAAGCATTTTGATATCTTTTGTAGATCCTCTCCTTACCAGGCTGGAACTTAGCTTAGGTGTTACAGTTTAGTCTAGTTTCTAAAGTTCATATCAAGGAGGTATAGAAACCAGAAGCTCTTAATTTACCGTTAGTTTCACTAAAGCTTGTACATAACCTACAAGGTGTTACGATACTGAAGACACGTACTGGGTTCAGGGTATGTAACTAGTATGGACAAAATGAAAATTATTGGCTGTCAGGAAAATAAGTTTTACTTCGAGATTTATAGGTAAACAATGAACAATGATTTATGATTCTTTGTCAATAACAAACAGAAGGCCTCAAAATATTTATTGTGCTAGAAATCATTTTATGATTATAAAAAAAGTCGAGTCAACACAGCTTCTTGAAAAGAAAATATGTAACATTAATCCAGAAGACATATGTATGGAAAATAATCCTGAATACAAAGTACTAGAGATAATGATGAAAGGTGAGAAAACTTATAAAATAAAAATGCATAACACTTTTTTGAGGGTAAAATGAAACATATTCTGCTAAACAAAATAAGCGGAAAACATGACACTTCAAGGAGTTTCTCTGTCCTCTTTCCTGATGAAAAATGAGAAGACTGTCATTCTAAGATCTTTATGGTTCAGTCCAAAATTTGAGCAACTCCTCATTAAAAAAGGAATGCAGAGAGAGTCTTTCAGACCTGCCAAAGTCCATTACTTTTAATTTTAAAGTAGGATTATCATACAATTAGAAGTCTTAGGCTCTTGGCTATTTACTCACTTGTGAAAAAAATAAGGAGGGAAGGGTCAAAAAACTTAAAAATTAAACACACAAATATGAGTGATTAAAACAAATTATCTTTGATAAATAAAATACTAAATTGCAAATACGTAACTAAAAAATCTTATGCATGAAAAAATATAAACAGCTTATGCTTAAGGTTGGTATAAATTATACAAATCAGTATGATTCAAATAAAATTTTTAAAAACACAATTTTACAAGAGAACTAAAACATCATTACCTTTTGATAAAACAAAAAAAAACCTGCTTCTAAATACAACACATCTCCAGATAAATTGCAAGGATTTCATGATGAGACAAAGGATTATTATGACAAAAAGTATTTGCTTTAAATAAAATTAACCAAATGGAAAGGAAAAGAGGGGGAGAAGGGATGCAAACTAACATAAACTTTTGATTAAATAAAAAAACTTCCTTCTGAAGGGAGAAAAATACAGGGACAAAATTACAAGAAGGAACTAATGAAACTGAAAACCACCAGTCTCCCAAATGATGACTAGATTCTAAAATACCCTACAGAATAAACTACCGATTGCTTACGCAACGCAAAAGACTACAGGCTTGGATACACCTATGTACACTTTTGAAACAGGAACATTTCAGAAAAAAGTGGTTTTGACCTGAATGAAGTGGCATCCAGCCTAATCGAGATTCAGGAGGAGATTCGTAACAATTTATTGGCGAAGTCACATGATTCCCTGAACCATTTCTGAAACCATTAACATGCTTTCATGGACAGAAAGGCGATTTACTTACAGCAATTGCTCTTAGAGATTTAACCAATAAATGAAAAAACACATAAGTTATATTTGGTAGAACTCATGCTGGGTAGACTATTATCAGAACATACAACTTGGTAAGTTAAAGTTCTACAACTATTCTTCGCAATAAACGCTGAAGTCCACTTCAGATTTTGTAAGTTTTTGAGGCAAAGCGCACCATGATATAAAATAGAATGCAATAATGTGCTAATATGGGTTGCAAAAGTTGCCTTGTTTAGGTGTGATATGTCTGAAAAAAACATTCAAATTTTACGGGGAGAACCACAGTTTTTACTTAACATGGAAGCCTTCAGAAACTATCACGGACTTAATTTTTATTAGACGAATCTCTTACTGAGGTACGGTCAAAAAGGTTAAAGTCAAGGGGGAAAAACTCAAAACAAAGCAACAAATTAAAAAATAAACTGATTCAACATACGTTACAACCACTTTACACAGAAAATAATTATTTCTTCTCTAATCATGATTCCAGTCCTGAAATACATAGATCCTTTTTTCTCTGTGATGGAAAAAAGCAAAATTTTACAACTAAGAACAAAAAGTTGACAATAAGATCCAAAGCACACTCGCAAGACCTTTTTCTTGTACCGTTCTTCATGAGAAAACTAACTTCACTGATGAAGTAATAGTTACAAAAGGAAGTGAATGATTAAAATTGAAACATATTCTACTTGGCTTCATGAACAGTTTAGGTGATCTTCTTTCGAGGTGCTCTTCGACTGCTGCTTCTTGGTAGCGTTGCGTACCCTGGATTTGAAGTCTGGAAACAAAAAATCAATCATAATTACCGATACATATGGACGTCTCTCTGAAGGAGACAACTATTTTGATCAGCTACAGATTGACTAAATTCTTTTTTATTATTTTTTGTGACTAAGGAAGTCCTGTCAATCATTACATTTAAAAGACATGTATGTTACTAAGACTCTTTCTCAGACATGCTGTAAACAAGGCGAGAATAGCGATACAGCCCCCTTCCCGTAGTGAGTGCAGAAAAATATTATTCCAACTTGCTGGAGTAAGTATTTTATTGATAATTGTTTTGCTTTCCTTTTGATCAAATGATTGATCGGCGATTGAAAAATAATGATAAAAACTGAAATTTAAAAAATTCGGATTACGTTAAGACTGAAGTTGGAACTGAAGTTGAAAAAACTGGATAAAATAAAGTAAATTTTGTAGATTTCAATAAGAGCAAAAAATTTAAACAAACAAAAATAGAAAAAAATGGGAGAAAATTTTTTGATTTGTAATAATAATTGGAAACATTCAGGCCGTATTCAGAGAGGGTAAAATCAACTAAAACTAGGGAAAAGCAGTTAGATAGGTACATGAAACTCAAAACAATAATCCATTAAAATGACCACAATTGGTATAAAATTGTGGTGATACTGATGAAAATCACGAAACTATACAACGGTTAATTTTTAGATTCCTTCAAAACTTTGAATATGGAATGAGGAGCTTTCACATCAAACAAAGGGTTCATCAAAAGGTTATTAGTTTCAGAGACTAATCATTCAGGCACTAGCACATTGAAGAGGACAGTACACATTAGTTCAGGACGTACAGATTCGAGGCAAGGTTTGAAAGTCAGATGATGAATTCCATTCATTACATCATGACAAAGATCAGAGTTGCCCCACTTGATTACATTGAAGAGTTCCAACCCACAGCCACAGGCTGCACACTTAATTAGCGTTGCCTTTTCAAAACTGGAAACCTTTTATTGAGCAAACGCACTAAACTAAGAAATCAGGGTTTGAAAAACCAAAAACACTCAGGTGCTGCTAGTGGGTTAAAAAAGCAAACACAAGGTGAAACTTAATAGAAACGTACAGTGCATGTTCAATACTTTCATCGATTCTGAGTGACCATAAATCGGAAGTAAGATGAGGGACTGAAAAAGAGGATTGAGATTGAGGATGAAAGGCTTAAAACGGAGAGACAGATACATGAGGGGGTGAGATAATAGATTATTGAGAGATTTGAGAGGATTTTGATGGGAGATAAATTCTTTTTAATTATTTCATTTATGATTTTATTTTATTTATTATTCAGCATTTTTTTTTCTCTTCAGTTACTATTATTTTTTGATTGTTTGTTCGCATTAATAATTTATGTAGGTATACTACAAGTCTGCTTGATCTTCTTAGAGAGAGAATAACACGATTGGTAAACCTTTCAAAGAGATTCTGTTGTTTTAGAGGGAACTTTAACTTTTAAGGAAAGGGGGAAAAAATAAATTTGTAAAAGAAAAAAGAAAAAAACCTCAGTTGAAAGTTTAGACGGTGGAATTATACAAAAAAAATTCAAGTCACAAGTTGCGACAGTTTTTAATGAAAATTACTTCTTAATATGCATTTTATAATAATAGTTTATTAAACGACCATACGAAGAGCCAGAAAAAAATAATTTGGCTTCTAAAAAGGCTCTGAATGCTAGAAAGTAACATTAATTTTTGTGGGAGGGTTAAAAATACCGCCAGAAGATAAGTGATTTTTCAGGATTTTGTAGAGGAGTAAAAGTTGAGAGGTTTATCCAAATGTTGGACAGTATCTATCGGAGAAAATTCTTCTCTTCTCTTTTTTTTGACAAAAAGAAAATTGCAAGAAAACCCTGAAATACCAGTAGAGAATCAGTGACTCTCAATCTATTTTGATGAAACCATAATGAGTAAACATTAAGTTCATCATAGACCCGAGGCCATGAAATTAGGCCATTCGTTCCAGCAGGAGTTGAGATATTCACAATTGAACACTCGTACTATTTTCTGCTTAAAAATTTCATAGAGATCGCTGTACACTGCCTTTCCTTGCCTTCTTGAAATACACTTGGGCCAGCGAAGCCCCCCTCCTTCAATGTACCTATAACCATTGCTTTCAAATCATGCCATTGCTTTTTCAGTTGTTGCCTTCTTTCAAATTGACATTACAATTAGGGGAGCAGACATGAAGAGGGGAAAAACTAAATCTACAATGATGGAAGAGGAATATTGCCCAAAAAAAAGTGGAAAAGCCTTTAATTTGAAGACTAGGAATCCAACCAGGCTGTGCCTGTTACAACGGTCAAGTGTACAATGGGCCTGTTGCAAACTTTTGCTAGAGCAAAACTAAGAGTTGTTTCTTATAGATAATGCCTCAAAAATCACGATGAGCGCATCGGCAAACTCTGAAATGCACTCATAACTTCACAAACTGCGTAAGAAATTTGCGGTTTTTTGAGCTTCCCGCTTCAAAAACGATACTACGGCACAGGTGAACATTTTGTAAGAGGAGTCGTTCCATTGTCGGCAATAATCATCATAGCCGACGCCAATCCGCCAAAACACGTTTGATGGGACGAGATAACACCTGAACTGGATTAGACCAGATAACAATCGGTGTGTTAACGTTCATATTTTCCACGCCCGAATTGATTGACCTTGAACTCTCCTTGAATTACGCGCGGAACTGCGTGCAAGCGTCGGCCATGATGAATATCGCCGACGATGGAGCGACTCCTCTAACAAAATGTTCACCTATGCCGTAGTATCGTTTTTGAAGCGGGAAGCTTAAAAAAACGCAAATTTCTTACGCAGATTGTGAAGTTATGAGTGCATTTCAGACTTTGCCAATGCGCTCATCGTGACTTTCGAGGCATTATCTATAAGAAACAACTCTTATCTTTGCTCTAGCAAAAGTTTGCAACAGGCCCATTGAATCAAGATGCTGAAACAGAATTGACTAACAGGGGAAGGAAAGAGCGACATGTAGTTACCAATAAGGCCCATGCGCACCCGATAAAACTGAGAGCAAATGTTATAGGGTCAGAGGGGAAGGCTTATCATTCTTCTGCCCTGCAATAGCATGTTAGAGAGTAATGCTCTTATTCAATCTGGAATATCTCTTCACCTATCCGAACAAATCGCTTAATTTTTTGGCTTCAAGCTTATAATGGTCTACACATTAACATGTTAAATTTCCATCAAAATATACCTAGAGCATTGACCCCCCATTAGTGTGACTGGGTTCTTTCATAGTAAATTTTATAGAAAAAAGTTGCATTGGTATTTCTACACAATTCTACGAAACACATAATAAGCAGATTTTGTGCTCTTTAAAATTGACAATCTATTCCCACTGAATTCAGACCAAAAAATACACCTACAATATGCAAAAGAAAGAATAAAAAATCTTTAAAACGGTATGGAGGATGAAACAGAGGTCTGTAGTGGATGTTACAGGAGGATATTGGTTGGTAAAGAATTATTACTTGAAGTGGCAAATAAAAACTGTGCGAGTTGAAACTACGATAAAAACAATTGACAAAAAACAAAAAATTAATGATCTTGATTACTTACAAAAAAAAATTTGAGAAAAAAAAAATTAAAAAACACTACACAGTGAGGAGCAATTCAAATTTGAAGTGAGGATGAGAAAAATGGAGAAAGTATAGCAAAATATGCTGTCTTACTGATAGATCATCACTATCGATAATAGTTGAAAGTTGGAGAGCAGACTGACAAATATTCCAATCAAAATTCATCTTGTTTGGCAAAATTTCTTCCTAAAAAATATATTTATAAACATGATTTTAGGGGGAAACTGGGACTTAGAAATCTACTGACGCTTCACTAACGCAGGGAACTTTAGGGCCGATATATCTTAAATAATTAAAGGCAAAATCCATAGGTTCAAAATGAAAAATAATAATTCAAGACTCATCAAAATCAAATCAACAATGAAATTAAAAAAATAATGACCTATGGCAGGTATAATTTTTTTATCTGCTATTATAAAAATGGCAAAATGATACATGAACTGAAGGAAAAGAAAAAATACTTCAAGATACTGAAGATTCGCTTAAAAAAATAAACTACACAAAATGAACTTCATCCTAAACTCTCTCTAATTTTCAACAGAGATTTTGTAAATGTAAACCTCTGATAAAAAGAAAAGTCAAAGAGCTCAGACCTCGATTTCTCATAGAACACTTCGGTGAGGAATTTTTCATTAATGTCAGTATGCAGGAGAAGGAAATCAAAAAATTTCAAGATCTTAGAATTTTTCAAAGAATCTTGCTACAAAGGAGAGGTTAACAATAATACGGCACTGTTCAAAAAAAGATCTAATTTCCGAAGACATCTCAATGAATTTCCGAAGAAAAATTATTACTCTAAGTTGTCCACAAAGTCTTTCACAGTTTTAAAACATTTGGCAGGATCATCATGGTTATCATCAAAATTAGCATTTAATTTACCACTTGAACCATCAAGATCATTATCAGAAACGCTTTGTAATGAGGGCTTGCGTGAAAACGAATGATCGGACAAAGGTATAAAACACTGACTATCCACTTCTGCAGTTCCAAAGTTTTGTCCATTCAAATTACCGACGACTCTATCAGATTTTGGCTCGGTAGTTGGGCTATCATTATTCTCCTGACCTGATGAATTGAAGTATGATATCACCCTGCTGTTTCTTAAAATGCTACCAAACCAGGATGGTGATGAGGGTTTATTAAAACTTCCAATTTTTTTATCTACACCTGGTGAAGGATCATCTGATAATTTTAATGAGACTCCTTTGTTCCTAGAGGTTTTCTCTATACGTCCTTTAAAGGGTTCATCTGGGGATGCCGATGCATTTTTACTGGATTCATCCTCAAGAACAGTATTTTGGTTGAGAGACTGATCTGAAAATGCCTCTGATGTACCATTCCTTTGAGGCTCATTAAAGGATGGTTCATGGCCCCCACCTTTACCTTCATTTTTACAGCCTTCATTTTGTTCTGAAGGGTTGATGACAGGAGAGGAATTATTATTATTACTTAAGTGTGATGTAACTGAGTTTTGTGATAACGATTCTAAATTTTGTTTTGAGTCCGACAGAGGGATAAAAACACTATTTGTATCGGAAAATTGATTTGCGGTGAAATCTGGTTCAATGGAGCTTTCTTTGGCTTTTACCGATTCTATTGATACCTCAGAAGTGGTGCTTCCAAGCTTTCTTTTGGTTTCAGGGGAGTGTAGAGTCACCAGTGATTCCATAGAGGAAGCAATTTCAAAATTTTTTTCATTCCCTTCACGTAATAAGGGAGGTTGGGGAGCTGGACCTTTCCTGCTACGCTTTTTAACCAATTTAGTTGGCTGCCTTAAGGATTCCAATCTGATGTCGACTAGAGAACTTGCTTTGACATGCAAAAGGACAGACGGAAAATCTTGTTCTTGGAGTTCTAAGTTGTGAGGTTCTAGTGCAAGGTTGTCTAAAGTAACTTTATTGCTACAGGTGGGGACACTATTTGAAGAATCTTGTTCCTGACATTTTAAATCGAAATTTTTGCCACTCAAAAGTGGCTCATTTCCATTTCCTGGGATGGAAAAATCAATTTTATTGATGTTAGGTAAATTTTTAGAGTCTAATATTTTTTCACCTGAATCTTCGATTTTATTTTTATGTTTGGCTTCGGATGCAGAGTGAATATCACTCCCTTTCATGGAAGTGAGATTATTTTCGGGACCTTCTTGATTTTTAAGAGTGTTTTGCATTGATGAAATATCAGGAAAAGATTTACAGTGATCTGGATCTTTACTCTTGTCGATAATTGTCTCTGAATTTTGTTGAGCAATCTGATCATTTATCAGCTGAGTGTAAAGAGCATGATACTGCAAGAACTGACTCAGAGAAAATAGCTGGGAATTGAGATCTGCTGTTATGTGTTCTTTCATGAAATCTGATAAATGAGAGGAATTGACAGGGGGAAGGGAATTAGGTGGAGCAGAGGGGACACTGGATTTCGAAGGATTAAATGGGCAGGATGAATGGGAGGTATGGTCACTGTCCAAGCCTTCTCCAAATAACTCTTGGTCCTTAAAATCAAGAAACCACAGAAAATAAGTAAATCAACTTGAACATCTTTGAAGAAAAATCCATAAATAAATAATGTTAATATGACCAAGCATCCACATAGTTCTAAGGCATTTGGTACAAGAATTTCAAGATATTCCATTTCAAAGTTTATTTGCAACTTGGCAGAAATTCTCGACGACAAACTGATGAGTCAAGATACACTTGAGTTATTATCAGATCAGAGTTTTCATAACTTCGGAATTTTCCAATTCCCTGGCTTTTCTCTCCCTTCTTTTGTTTTTCCTTGACTCCAAAATTTCCGAATTCCCTGCCTTTCTTTGACCATCAAACAGAGCATCTACTTGAATTTTTATTTCTTTTAATTACACTGCTGAGCCATCATGCTTCTCGCAAAATTCCTTGACTTTTCCGGGTCACCGTAAATTAAAGGACCTTCTAGGTTTTCCAGACCGCCAGAGAACCTGGCAGATGAATCCATTAAAAGATTCTCTCATAGGTCTCTTGTAAAAAGGTGTACATGGCTTTTTAAGCTTGAAAAAAGGTACAGCAAAGTGGAAGAGGGGCATTGCAAATTATGAGTTTGAGGGGAGTTGTACAGCAAGGGGTCAAGAAAAAATTGTTTGAGCAAGTTAACTTAGGATAAATTTCAAAAGGACAGGAAAGTAGTCACATTTTGGTAAAAACTTAATTGCAGCTACTTAGCTACTTCTGTGCACAAAGCAATAAGGTCGGCTCAAAATCTTTACAGATTCCGTAATTTGTAAAGTTGATGTATCTTGAATAAAATACATAAAATAATTAACAAGTCAGACATAAAGATCAGAGTAGGTAACTATTTAACAACCTAAAATGGTGACAGACATATTTTCGTCTTTTAATGTTCAATAAACTCGTTGGATCAGCTTGTTTTGAAATGTGTTTTTGGGGATTCTATTGGAAAGTTTACTTTTAGTCTCACCAAAAATGGCTGAGCAACTAACTTCTAAATTTGAGACTTCAGAGGATCCTTTTGCAGCAATACAGGACATACTGAAACATTGATGAGACCAGTGTTCCAAACCCACAGGTGGCATTGCGCCAAATGCTCCTCAAAACATAGCCATTGGCCTAATTTTGTAGGCACCTGTCGACCGTAGATTGCAAAACCTAGCCTCTGAATTCAACTATGGGTTGGAAAAATTATGTTCTGAGCTCAAGCTCAACGCAAGTTCAGCATTTTTTACAGCAGGCTCCAGCTATCCTTGGTTTCTCAATGGTGCAAACAATTTATCAGAGATCGAATTACTACCAAAGTAAACAGTCAAAATTCTTGCCTTAACTTGCAGCAACCTGCCAACAAAATTTGAGCTATGGCCCCTAAAAAATGAAGACCCTGGCCACTGACCAAGTGTCACCCCTAGAAATTTGCATAAACCATAATTTTTCTGATTGCTAATTTTATCTTAATCGGCACAGGACTTGACTTGTTTAATTGCTACAATGCACTATGGTGTTTAATTTCCTGCCCTGATTAGTGGTTCATCCTTGAACATTGATGTTTTGGATTTTTCACTTAAAAACTCATTTCTTCTGATGGAAACTACACATCTTTCAGTATTTAAGATCACTATGAGGGAAACTACTAAGAGCTCCTTCAGATACTAAAAGAAGTGGAAAGAAGGAGGGAACATGATTACCTGTGAGGGTGTCCTTTTTGAAGCTCCAGATAGCGCTCTAGTTCGAATCCTTGATGATCCTAAGGAGCCTGTTCTAGTTAGAGGTGAGTTGGATTGCAACTCAGACTCAGCAGGAAACACTGAGTCAGTACTACAATAACCTGAGCTTATGTCATCTACTGATTGGATTTGTTTGCTGAAAATCATCAAATAAAGTATGAGTGATAAACCTAATCAATCATATTCGCAACTTAGAACATTCATCACAGAAAGTATAGAAGGAGAGGAGAATGATTTTAGCAATGAAATCTGGATTTTTAGAATTTAATGACAACTACAAAAAAACTCTGGCTCAGGGGTATGATGTAGATTTCACATTTTTTCAAAAATTGAAAAACCCCGTTTCCAATACCACATTTGTGTGTGAAAAAAACCTAAAAAAAGTTTTAAAAAAGATAAAGAGATTTCTCTTCAGATACTTCAGACGTTTAGATGGTGGAATGAAAAACTTATGTATTTTGACTGCAGTTTTTCAGAAGTTCTGCTGTTAATATTTGTTTAAAAGAAGAGTAATTAAAATATTTTATTTAAATTTAAGGAGAGGAATTTTTTGATTATTATAGATGGAACAAAAACCAAGGTCACAGGGAAATAGATCAATAACAGACAGGTTTCCTGTATCTAAATACAGTGAAACCTATTCATAACAGAATCTCATGGAACCAACAAATTTTTCCGTTGACATCAGGTTTCCACTATAAGCAGATTTATTTACCTACATTTATGTCGCACAGGACCAAAAAAAATTTCTGTTTAGATCGATTTTCCGCTCTAAGCAGGGTCCCTTATGAGCAGGTTTCACTGCGCTGACATACAGTAAACATGAAAAAAAAAAATATGTAACTTTCTCCTTTTCACACCAATTATTCTTTCCATCTGAGGTTATCTATTCAGCTTTGATTCAAAAACTGACAACAGTCAATAATGAAAAATAAAGGCTTGTTGAAACTTCAATATTTACAAGGTGGATGAAATTCTCAAGTCACAGAATTTGAATAAAAAATGATTGATCATTACCTTACAAGGACATCAGATTCTGGCACATGAACAGAATTTACATCCACGTCCATGGCAGGAAAATATAAATTAGCTTGACTTCCTGCATTAGACTTTTTGATTGGTCTCCTTGCAGAAACTGGAAGAAAGGAGTGATAATTGTACATAGAAATTAAATCGGTAACAGAGAGAATCACTTTAATATTAAAATAAATGTGACAATCATTTTAGCCTGATAAACATAATTGCTGTTGAGGCATGCAAGCACACCTTTATGGCTGAACAGAGGGTTGTGAAACAATAAATAGAGGCTTTGAGGCTTGCTTTGCGAACCTCAATTGAGTGCCTATGCAATGAGTGACAACCCACATGAACAATGCTAGGCAAGTGACTGCTGAGTTCGCAACTTTTATAACTTCGAGAGAACGGTAAAAAGAAATAATAGCAAGATAAATAATGGCTGAAGGGTATTTACTGATATTTTAAGACCAAAAACGTAACTCTTTCATTTTCGTTTCTTTAATTATTTTCTACTTACCCAAAAATTTCTATTTTCGAAGGTTTTCTAAATTCCTCACTTTTCCATTTTTGTTTCTTTAATTTTTTTTCTCTTACCCAGGAATTTCTTTTTTCTACGGTTTCCTAAAACCCTCACTTCTTTCTTATATTACATGCATTTTAAAGAGAGAGATTTTTGGAAACGTTGCATGACAGACTACGTAGTGCAATCTCAAACCGTGAGGAATATTTTTAAGTCATCATAAAAATCCTGTACATCCACTCCTTTTTAAAGAAAATTCATACACTTTTTACACTTCCGTGCTGACCTTTCTCAGTTTGTGTTTTTTTGGTGTATCCATGCTTCTCCTGTAAACAATAGACACCCTGAACTAATTTTCAACATTCAGATTAACACAAATGTAAAGTACCTGATCCTGAGTCAACGGAATCTCCTCTACTAATCAGTCGTTCAGGAGCGTCATTAGTGTCACTGATATCGCCTAAACTATAACTTCTCTTCAGCTGACTCATGATGCCACCGCCACCCTGAAATCAATGAATAAAATGATTAGCTCAAAAAAAGTGTGATAAATATATCTACTGATCTGTAGGATCTATCTGCCGGAATAGCAGAGAAGAATGGAATTCAGCAAAACAGGGTAGGAACAACACATTGGCAGTGAAACTCCCAAACCATGTATCTTGTTTGCAGTGTTTAAGAATCTTCGCTCCTACTTTATTTTATTTTAAAGGAGAGCTAGTCATTATCATTCTTTGAAGTTTTTTTTAGAATTTGCTTGGCACAGACAAAGAAAATCAAGTAAGTTTTTAAGAGTTGACGTTAAGTGATTCTCCATTTTAAAAATGACAGGAAGTCGGCATAGTAGCAAACCGAAAAACGGGGTTGGGGAGTTTCACCATCAACATGTATCATTTGAAGATAAAACTTTTTAAATTCTTATCCTTGGAGCAACCTCCAAGAAATATAATCTCCTGATAAATATCTTTCATTGTAAGATAAGGAGCAGTATAGAGCTATAAATTAAAATGAGAATGCAATTTGAATGCTTGAAAACCAGGGACATTACTTTTTGGACAACCTATGCAGCTAGTCATATTTCGTTGAGAAATAGTGCTCAGTTAAATGGTTAGGTTTGACCAACTAACTGTCCAGAGAAAAGGTTGAGCTTTCCATGATGATAGTTCAAAGGATTGTTTCTTTAAAAACACAATAATGATAGTATAATATTTAAATATTGATAGGTATTTCAAAAAAAGTGCAAAGTTTTTTGTTTTTAAAAAAAAGAAAGGGTAATTTTCATTGAATCTTCGTTATCCTATCTCTGGGACCATCTGAAGAAATGACTGAGCTAAAATTTATCACTCATTAAAGAAAATTATGCAAAATCTAAAAAAGATGATCAGTATCTATGCATCATATTAAGCCTCGACTACTTGAAATACTGAGCTATATAATATCACAATTTGTACATTTTTCAAGGTATTTATGTAGAACTAAAAGGCGTTTTTTGTCACTTTAATCCCATTGTCAGTTCAAATGAATCAACCAATACAAAAAAAAATTGTTTTTGGAAAATGAGAGGAAAAGCAGATTTTGATTATAAAGGGGTACATTGTACATGAATTTAGACAAAAAAATTCATTTTCGAAAAAAAAAGCATGGCAGAATCATGCAAATTAGCTGATGAACTGCAAACATTACCGAAATTTCAGGAATGTTATGAAATTTTCTGCTCTCTCTTTTTTGTTTTGATAAAGCATTACGGAAGTAAAAGCATGCAGTTACAAGAATTTATCAGTATGCTTACCATTTTACAATGGACTCAGCACACACAATATGTCAGCGCCAAAAGAGAAAGAACACAGCACAGCAAAACATTGTTCCTCATTATAGTTAGTCTATTTTGTGATTTTTATGGTTAAATTTTAAACATTGTGAACAAGGCGCCAGACACAAAACCAAAAATATAAAAAAAACCTGGCCAAACAAAACCAAACCTAACCAAGTTTAGATTTAACTAAAAATAAACATCAGTTGCATTCCTTCACCAAATTAATTATAGAGAGTAAACCCTTTTCTTCACAGTCTCATCTCATACCGACATCGCACTCATAATGAGTGTTTTCCTTTATAAGAAGGTAACAAGAGATTTTATTTCATTTCGCACATCAAAAAGAATATCTACTTTAAAAAAGAGATGCCTCAAAACATTTGTATCTACTGATGACGTAGAGTACTACTTTAAGGACTGCACAATTACCACAGAAAGCTTTTTACGCGTACCTTCTTAAAAATCCAATGCAATTCTATCTAAGTGATGATAGAAATATTTGCTCCAGTGATCTATGATCAGAGCACCCCTTCAAATCACGGTAATATTTGTATGATGAGCTTAAATACTTGAAGCAAGCCTTCTACTTTTTTTCATATTTGCTTTTTGTGTAAACTTATAAAGTTTCCTCACCAGGATGAAACTTTAAACAAGTTAGGGTAAGGAGAGACCAAAACATCTCAATTCAGGGAGCTATTTAAATTTGAAACGCTGCTTTATTTTCGACATATATCACATAACACTTTCAGAGAAAAACAGTAATTAATAAATTAAATAATAAGTAAACTAAACTAAATTAACTAAACTAAACTCATAACTGGTACAATGACTTCTACTTATTCTTTTAATTATTACTTTATCACTTGTCAAAAGAAAGAAAAAATAAAACTGTAATTGTAAACAGAAGAAGAGGTCAGGTAAAAGGATTTAATCAAGAGTGAGTTACGGACCTTGCGGCTCCTTTTTAAGACCCACCTATAAAACATTCCTGAACTCATTAGAAAAAGAGCAATTGTACTAGGCCTGACCATGAACATTCTTCAGTAACAAAAATAGCTTGAAAATTGATGAATCAGTATAAAAACATGTAAGACTCGACAAGGCAGAATAAACTGGGAAAATTAATCTGACGTCAAGATAAACCTACGAACTTCGGATCAATAAATCAATGAATAGCACATCCCTAGAGGACTGAGAGTTTTTCTCATTTTTGTGCATATTCTTTGTGACTAATTCAAAACTTTTAAAAGAAAGACATTTCATGTAGTTCGAAATCAAGTAACAAAAATCAGGCCATTATTACGCCAAACTGCTGGGAAAAAAGTACTTTGATAGAATAAATATTCTGATGTACGCAAAAAAGAGTTAAAATGGTGAAAAACTTTAAAACCCTGGTTAAAATAACATGGTTTGATTTAGTTGCAATTGACGTAGCAGCAGGATAATGTTGAATGGTAAAATGTGAAGATTTGCGGTGAGAAAACAATATAACTAAGTAGAAAATTGAAAGACAAGGGAGGATGTATGATTTAACAGAGTATAAACCGTGGAAAAATAATATGTAGTTGGCTTAAGGGCAAAGAACTTTAGAAACTTTTGAGATCACAGAGAGAAATAGTTTTAATAAAAAAACCGGGTAATTTAATATATTTTGCCAATAAGCCTATACAAAGAAACTCTGATAAATGAGATAGAAGGCGTGATAAAAATTAGACAATAGAAACTTCATTTCCTTGTGAGATAAGAAATAAGAATGCATTCAGGTAAACTCAGGAGGCCTGAGCCTTTGATAGAATGTATCACAAGGAANGGGGGGGGGGGGGGTTGTGAAGTAACTGCCTAACATTGAAAGACATTTCAAATAGAGTAAATTGAGCAATTTTTGGGAAGACAAGAGATTTGTTGAGGTATTATATCTCACTGAGGAACCAATAAAGACAGGGAGGAGTGGTAGAGACGAATCTAGTAAAATTAATGAGGAAAGATCCAGGATTGTATTAAAAGATGAGAGAGGATGAGCCAAAACGAGAAAGTACATGATGTGAAATTGGAAAGCCCTCTAATGTCAGTTTATTTTACCCTACTCTAGACCATGACAAACCTCTATGATACGCTGATTTTGAATGTAATTTTGATGAGAGATGCCCAGAACTGGCACATCTTTAGCTGCTGTTTATAATCGGGTGACTATAACTGTTATCGGAAAGGTTAAAAGAAGGAGCAGCATAAAAAAATGAGATTAATCACATATAAAGTTGTTGCCTAAGTTTACATTACGCTTTTCAAAAGTAAGATCAACTGTTGAATCGTCCATCTTGGACTGAGGTAAATTTTTATAAGTTAATAGTTCTCTAGATCAGCTTCAGTTTAGTGGTTTACCCTAGCTAGCTATACGTTCATTTGATAAAATTCAATAATTTGAAGTTAAATGACCCAGGGAGAAAACAACACAATTTTTTTTACACTTGACAGTTACAGGTAAACATCATTTAGAAAAATACATTTTTCATAAATATTAACAAAAGGCAATGTTTAAGCTCCACATAGTTTTTGAGAAAACAAGCATTACTTTAGAAAAATGATAGCAATGTAAAAACAGTTCCAGAGAGCACATGGTACCTTTCATTAATCAGTACGGTAGGTTGGCAATTTTTATTTATCATTTCAGATCATAAGAAATATTCTCTGTGTATCTAAAAAGCTTTTCTAGGTGAAGTTCAACAGGATCGATGAACTGAGAACTCCATGGAGGAAAAACCAAAAAGTGTTGGCAGTGTTGGCTCTTTTTGACTGCACTATCCTCATGCACAGACTTCCCGACAAGTTCGCAAAGCAGGACGTACTTTGTGACTGCAGTCAATTTTTTTTTTGCAGTTTACTTTCATACTAAAGTTCCGAAGTCGTATCAACTCAATTTTGAGTTAATGCCTCTATGTGCTAGCTCATCAGGAAATTTTGAACATTCATGAAAAGGCTGTTTACTTACATAAAAAAATAATTGTGCAACATTCGAACTAAGCACACAAACATATCAGAAATAAATTTTTCAAAACGATAAAAATAAGAAACTATTATTAATCAATCAGTCGGAGGTCAAGAGTGAAAAAACAAACATACAAATCAACTTGACTAAAAATTGGAGAATAATTGAGTAATTTCACAGCTGTAGCAAAACTGTCCTAGATCAAAAGAAAAACCGAGCACAGGAACAAAACTGATCTAAAGGCATTTACTTGAGTAGAAAAATTATAATTTGGAGAGGATATTGGTTGGTTAGAACGGTCAAAATGGAGAGACCTTGAAAAATTCGGGAGATAGAACAAATCGATACTAATATTCGCCGATTTTTGAGTAGCATTGTTCAGTTCACAAGCTGGATGAGGAACAGATATACACAGCTATCTTTCAATTACCCGTCAATAGCTTACAAGGGAAAATACTAATCTTGATTTGCACCATCGTAAGTTGTTTTCGATATTGATGCTGAGCAGAATATTTTTAAAATCGGCACCAAATTGCTTTAAAGGGCATCCCAAATACAGTCATACGTATCTTTGCCCATGCTTGTTGTCCATCTGAACGGATAATTACTTTCTTGCTCGATTGAAATAGTTTGATTACAATGAAGCTTCATCTAACTTGCAAGTGATGCAACCGAGTTAAAGAATTAGTCTAGGTTAGAAAAGGTATTTACAAATAATGAATTTTCCACTGATAATGAGAGCTCGCATTATTTTTCTTGCTGCTTGGAGTGACCTAAAAGTTTCTGCCTTCTAACTATTGAGCTCAGCTCATTGAAAATCCCCTTGAAAAGATTAGATCCCTCCAACAGCATGATAGGAGAGTATTGGGAGAAAAGAAAAATAAGGTAATAAAGGTATAGCTCACTCCAGAGGAGATTCCAAAATACAAATCACTAATTTTGATATTACTAGTGAACTCCTCGGCGTGTTCTTCGCCTTGTATTACAAGCTGGTCCATCATACTGCACTCCCTCCTCGCTAGTGACTTCTTTGAAATCAGGAATAGCTACTTCGGGACTATAATCAGAGTCTACAGAGTCATCAGATGACTCAATATCAATATCGTATAATCGTTCTGTTTTTATGAAAGTGAGTTCTTTCTCTGTTCCTGTGAAGGCGTCTGGACTGGATGCCGATTCTTTGGTGTCATGTTGAAGCTCAGCCAGGCTATCGGTGGAATCGTTTGCAAAATGAAGACCTCTCCTTACAGAAGGCTCACTTTGGTTCTTTCGTGTCATCTGACTATCAGAGGGAATAACGGCCGAAGCGGAAGGTAGATTCTTGAAAAGGGAGAAGGATTGACGAGGAGTGTTCCAAAACGCAACACAGGAAAAGGAGCGGAGATAGGAAAAGGAAAAATAAAAACATGCAAATGTTAATAAAAAAATCATGAACTCAGTGAGGCTATAACTATTATCAGAGTGGTAATGAAAAGTGCTTGCAAACAACACATTGAGATTGAACTTCTCATTTTAGTTGCCTAACATGGATATCTACCTGTTCAAAATAAGTTAGTGAAAAAGAAGTGAAAAAAGCTAAGATTTCGCAATCAAACGGCTGAGTTGTGTAATCAACAGAATAAGGAGGTAGGTATTCGATCAACATGGGAGCCTCTGGATGTCACTCACATATATAGATGAGTATGTTGGGAAAGTATTGCAAAAGTAACTCATCTGTACAAGGACTTTTCTTCTGTTTGTGGTTGCCGATGAGAACCAGAAGAAGAAGAGAAGTCCAAACAAGATTTCCCATCAAGGTAGCAAACCTAACCATCTCTAAATGAATTGATTCTAATACGATAGGGAAATTGGTGGTTCTTAATCATTTTTTTTTAAATTTAAACCCTTTCTTATTGAGAAGGAATCCAAGATTTAAAAAAGAAAGTTCGCACTTGCAACTTTCAGTTTTTCTAGTTCCCTGGATAACATTTTACAATATTGCACCCATTGGAAAACACAAAAAATCAAAACAAAAAAACAACAGTTGGAACATTTTTTTCTGGAGATGAAAATTAAGATTTCAAGCCCGCTTCCTCACATCTTCACTCTTTGTTCCTGTTCTTCACTTATATTATATCTGGTCAAAAGGAACTCAGAATAACATAGAACATACTTGCAACCAATGGAAAAAGATTCTCATGAACCTATGAGTTACAGAACATTCATGCAAATGGTTATGCTTCAGGTATATTTCAAAGCTGTCAGGCTGTAACAGCATAGATTCTAGGTTTTCAAGCGTGCTTAAAAATCCAAGAAAAAGAGTTTTAATGGTGAGTTTGAAGTACCATTTCCATATGTTAATCTACGGAATTAAAACTAACCACTAGAAACGAAGCAGATCATTTGAGAATGGGTCAAGACAATAAACATCTGATACTCACTTTTAAGGCAGTCTGCATTATAACTGTGCTGGCATAGTTAATTCCTTTCGTACCAAGCTGTAAGACAGTTGCGTAACTCTGCTCTTTAGCTCGAGCAATGTATTCATCAATTTCCTGTACAAATAAAAGACTTCCTTAGTTTCATTTTTACAAACAAAAACAGTAAAATATAGGTAAAATCAACAGGAGATAAAGACACAAAAATTACAACAAATAATTTTAGGGTAACTGGGAATCGAAGAGGGTAGTGGCATAGCCTCCTCACACCATTGACGGATTCAGGAAGGTGGCAACATTGTTTTCTATCCATTTAAAGCTATGAAAATCTATAAGTTCTCGGAGGGACCAGGTTCTCCGACAAGAATTGAGTATTTAACACAGGTTTATGTTTTTATGTTTTTTTTAATACCTCCAGTTGAATGTCTATGTGATTAGAAAGATTTCAAAAATACTTAGGTACATACCTCTTCTCTACAGCTCAGCCATGGATGAACAAAATTTCTATACATTATACTAGAGCCCTTGGTGGCAGGACACAGAAGCCATATCACAATGAGAATTTTGATTTCGTAATAGAATGGAAACCAAAAGCTAAAGAAAAGGTCAGTCAGGGTTTCTGCACAAGTAAAAAGTGCGAATACTATCCAGTACATCATCCATTTCACCTGAAACCAAACAAACGCACGCTAGATAACAACCCAAGTACTAAAATATATGGGCATACTTATAAAAGCAAATAAGAAGCTTCGTTGTGCGTCGGATAATTTAAAAATCTCTCAAAAAAGTGACCCTTTTCTCCAAAACCTAGGGGAATTCATTAAACAATTGTTTTAGTAAAACTTCTCGTTGAATAATGCCTACCTCATGATTACTAGCTTGAGTTCTAATCTGGTTTTAGCGATACAGCTATGCCAACTTTACACTTTATACCACATCCTCACACATTACATGTGCATTTTATACTGCAAAAGAATGTATTGTTTCCAATATTGTATGATCAAAACTGCTTTTTTGACATGAGCTAAAACTTTTACAAGAGGCTTGTCTCGCCATAAGGCTTCATTTTAACCACATTTCAATAAAATTCTCAGGTTAGCAGTAAAGGGGCATTAAAAGGCCCTTTTGTTATGATACTCCTTGCGAAAGGATTATTTTGAATATCCAGCAGAATTTTCATACTCTTAGATAGTACTCCCCTTTCCAATATTGGCTTTAAACCACATTTGTTGACGCTATTCTTAATTCACAAGTATCTGTACTCTCCTATTCGAGTGCTACGATGACAAGTCCTGTGCACCTCTGGTAAGGAGAGAAAAACAGGAGCGCCTTGAGTTTATGAATATGCAATACGCACATCCGTGGACCACGAATAGTTGCATCAAGGCACCTCAATCAACTCAGTGTGGTCTTCGAAAAGTGAGAGCGCCTTCAATTTTAGAATATGCAACACGCACATTAAAAATCAACAAGTAAAATTAAAAGAGCCTTCCAAAAGTTAGGCCCTTCAGCGGCAGATTTTCTGCGCGGCACAGAAACTGAAAACTCACTATCATTGACTTTAAAAAACCTAGAATGATGACCCATCATCTTACCAGTAGAATCTCTTAGAGTTTTATTTCATAAATTAATTTTCGTTCAACATTGGTGGTGATAATCTTGGTCACTAAAGTAACATGTAATGCATGGAGTTTGAAAATGACAAAAATCGGAAACTGCCAACGAGAGGGCGAAAGAATTTTCTTAATTATTGTGGGTCTAGTTGAGAAGTACGAGGAGAGGTGAGGGTGACGGAGACTGTTGTGAGTGTTGGAGTCGAGATAACTTTCTTCAGAAAAGTTTGAACGTTATCTTATTAGCTTCCATTATTTATTCACACTAACAATGAGCTATGGAACGAGAAAGGAGTCAATACGTATTTTTCTCGACAATTGACAGACAGATACCTGTTCGGTACCATCTGCATTACAGACTCATGCGTGCGAATACGCACGTGGCTCAAAGTTCAATCATCTGCAGAGATGTGAAATTTTAAGGGAAAATTTCGTGAAAATTCACAAAATTTATTTTAAACTGTTCCAGAACTGTAGACCTACCGAACTCAAAAGCCGTTAACACGATAGGACAGTTAATCGTTTCTGAGTTTAATATAAAAATGATATTAAATAAATATTTCATTAACTAATATAATTACTGAATAATAAGTTTGAGGATTACTGAAAGCGTATGGATAGTTACAAGCTGTGACAGTAGCCCTCGATGTAAAAAAAGAGGGAGAAAACAAAAAAAATGGTTGATAAAAAAGAAGGTAAAACAGATTTAAAAAATACATATCGCTAGCTAAAGAACAATACCGCCTATCTGCAAACTGACGATTTAGCAGAACAAAGAGAAAACTTTGCCATTTTTGTAACTTTAAGGTTAAATTTGCAATTTTTTCATACATTACAGCGTCATTGCACCGCTCCCCTACAGACTTTGGAAAAAACTAAAATCATCAGCTTGTGTACTTTATATTGTGGATTGTAGAATGCGGCTGAGTTGCTAACTCATTTTTGCAAAAATTGTCAGATATGCGGTATTGTTCGGTATCCCTCGATGTGTGTGGACATAAGAACGGGATAGCTGTGGATCTCAAAAAATATTCCAACAAAAATTAAAAACCGTAGAGATGACTCACGTATTCTTTGACGTTTTTCGATTTGACAGCCTTGTAGGAAGCGTATGCAGGGTATAAGGTGCCGAACACCAATCTGAAAAAACAAAGCATAACATGTGGCTATTAGATTTGCTGCGAAGATCCAGAGATGCTGTGGAAGAGGAGAAGGAAGGAATAATAAAAACAAGTTATTAGCCGAGAGGATGCAACGACGAAGGAGCCACGCGCCAAGTTTTGTCTTCCTCGGCGTTGAAGCTGACAGTCGGAGTCGGAGATGCTTCGGATGGGACGCGAATGCATGCAATTTGTTCCTTGTTACATGTCGCATTCCGACTCAATTTTCCACGACGCTCTAACATCCTCACGAGCGTTCCATCTAGGAGGCTGTTTGAAGTTGCTACACCTCTCTGTGGAGCGAATTGTGACGAAATCACACCTGGAGATGAAATCTCAGGAGTAGGGATGGATTAATAAATGAAATAAGTCGATTATGACACTAGAGAACCGTGGATATGATTTAAGTTGACGTAGCAAACTCAGTTCAATTAAGGAGAACTAAATGCTAGGAGGGGCGTTGCTGATCTCGCTAGCCCCAGTTCGCGGCAAACGGTGTGGCAAATCTTGGATAGCTGGGCCTTTTTCAATAGTGATTACCTTTTTTTCAGAGAGGGCACTCCCTGAAGGGCTTTGGAAGGATATAGGACTTTGGCGGCTGGATGTCGAAGAGCTCCAAAGAGCGCTGTAAAAGCGGCTTTTGCGTGTGTAATACTGTTTTTTCGTTTTTTTAAAATATTTTATTTAAAAGTATAAAAAACTGAAGCAAGTCCGGAAAAGGGAGCGCTCATAAATTACGTAACGCAATTTTTCAGCATTTTTGAAATCTCCCCCCCCCCTTTTGACGTACGTCCTTATCCCTTAACACGCTAAAAAAAATGGCGTAACGCTCTCCTTCCCATAGAGTTACGTAAGTTATGGACGGCCCTTTATCCGTGAAATCGTTAATTTCCCATAAAATCGGACGTTTCTGCTCGAGGCAAATCGGAAATTTGACCGAAAGGCGAAAAAGCCGGATCGCGGAAAAGTCGGCGTTTTGAAGGTTTTTACACCCCAATTTTCCAGCTCCTGAATGACATGGATAAATGAAATAGTTAAAACGAAAACGCCCGCAGCATAAAGGACCTCTACGTTGTTGTCTCATTCATTACAATTTTCACGTCACTCTTGAGCGAAAAGAAAAGTCGACGAAAAATTGGCCGAACAAAGTACATTGACGCCAGATCATCGCGCATCCGGACAATAGCACCGCGAAGGAGAGACGCGAAAATGCGCGAACCCGAGCGGTCACGATTGAGCGTATAAATCCATAAATTAGAGTGGATCAAGGTCTGGGAACTGTTCGAAAAAGGAAAGAAGTCGCTGAGTCTGGTGAGGGATGGAGGCCGCCCCCCCCCCTCCCTTCATCGACTGCCCGAGCTGCGATTCGAAAACGCGCGAGTAAAGTCGCGTGTAAAAGCTCAACGATGTAAGTACAATTGCCCGGGTTGCCGAGTTCACTCGGATACGGAGAGCGAAATGGGGATACCTAGACTCAACTTGTCACGACGACGCCAATGTACAATTGTACAAGGTGACCAAGTTTGCTTGAAATTTTAATACTTCCTATTGTTCCCTAATTTTTCAATTTTTGGACCAAAAAATATACGGAAATTTCAAGAATTTTGGACAAGAAAATCGATTGCACGAGATATTCTTGTTGTTGGTGCCAAATCCGACAGAATGTTAAGTTTCCCTGAATTGCAGAATTTCCTCGACAAAATAGTTCTTATTCAGGATAGTTATGAGTAATTTTTTTTAAGGTTTCAGACACCAACACGGAAAAAAAATTTAGCGGTTATCCCCTAAATTTGTGGCACTCCCCCAATTTGTTGGATGATATGGACATTTCCAACTAAGTTTGGTAGTTCCGCGATTCAAATTGGGGTGGTAACGCTAGATTCAGGTTAGTACCCTAATTTAGTGGAGCACTACCGCAATTAATTGGGGTCCTACCACAATTAATGGGAATTGTCCAGGTTGGGACTTAACCCCAACCCCTTTTTTCGGCGCAAAATTAAAGTGTAATTAAAAGGATGTGAATAAATTCTTGGCAATATAATCCTGAATCGTCGAGAAAACTTCCTTTTAATGGGAGAAATCTGACAAAGCTGAAACTTTCATACGCCGTTTTTCTTAGGTACAGCAGTAATGGCGTCCCAAATGGGTATACGATTCGTCACCACCGCGTGCGTCGGGTGGTGGCTGCTGCAAAGGTGTAGCCGTCGCATCTGACCAATGCACGCTCGGCGCTTGTTTGCGATAATATTATTGAGATGATGTAATCGCATCCGAGTAGTAAAAAAAAGTAAATAAGGGGGCGCTATTTAATTACGTAACGCGATGAAGCGAGGAGAGGGGATTTAGGATGAGCTCCGATAGGAGGGTAAGGCAAAGTCGTTACGCAACGTGATCGGGAGGAAAAATTAGGACTTTTTCTTCGGGAGGAGGCCGTCCGTAAGTTACGCAACGCTTCACAGGGTGGGTGGAATCTTATCCTGCGTTACAGGGTGTTAGGTGTTAAGTTGCGCTTAGCCGAGCGTTGCGTGTAAAAATGAACGTATGATTTGACGTGATATTTCACAATTAAAACGGGAAAATTACCGATTTTTCCAATACTATTTTTGAACTTCCGGTAAAAAATAATTGTTGTCTCTGTCTTTACAGCAACCTTGACCTGTAAGACTAAACACGCTTTTTTTTTGGCATATTTAGAAATTTGTCAAGTGANGGGGGGGGGGGGGACCGGCGTTACGTAATTTCTGGGGAGATGTGTCCGGTGCAGCGTTATGGCGCGTCACAAGGGATGATCCAGTGTCAAAAAATTGTTGATAATTCAGCGTTCCAGTCGATGCCGAAAAATAAGAAGAATACGCACTTGTAAAGCACGACAAGAGATAAACTATCTCGAATCTTGTATTGACTTAATGCTGCACTGAGGCTGCAGCCAATCTGGCCGTTGCATTCTAAGCACGCACACTTCTTTGGCTTTTATTTTTCTACGTAACTGAGAGGCTCTATTAGCTAAGAAAAGATGCATCAGGACTTTCGGAAGCTTTCTTTGAAACCTAAAAAATCCCCGATTTCTATTGGGATTAATTAAATATTTCGTGCAGAAATTCCAGACCTTCTTCCAGCCAGCTAATCAGGTTGAACACCCTTTTTATATTTTAGGACAGATGTTGGCTTTTTTTTTTTTTTTTATACTTATATTTACTTTGTAAATTTTTGAGATTCTTTACTTGATTAAAATCAATTATCAGTATTTTGAAAGTATTGACTAGGCTCATCATTAGTCTTTGATTTTGGTTTAAAATTTTTAGTCCATAAAATTTTCATTGGGAAGGATATGACCAGAATAAGGGTTGTTAGCGGAAGAATTTGGGTTCAGTTTAATTTTATAAGCTTATCGTATCGGAATCGAGGCAAAGTTGTCCGGGTTCATACAAATATAAAGCATATAGCTAAATATCTAACATAAAATCTTGTACTACTAGATTCTAGATTAGTAAATATAAAAATAGTTAGCGATCTCATAATTAAAATACTACAATATTCTGAAAGGAAGATTATTATAAATCTGGTTCTTCTATACTCAATATTAAATCCTGAAATTAGTTCTGATTAGTATATAGTTTCTTAGCTAAGAAAAGATGCATCAGGACTTTCCGAAGCTTTCTTTAAAACCTAAAAAATCCCCGATTTCTACGGGGATTAATTAAATATTTCGTGCAGAAATTCCAGACCTTCTTTCATTTTTAACTATGTAATATCATGATAATAGCTCTCTCCCTTTCCAAACTCGGGGACTTCTTCACCGCTAAAACGACGTAAATACGCAAAATTTGAAAAAGTCGAGAGGGTTCCCTGTTTTTCCCTAGTCTCTGGGGTGCTCCCGCTCCCCAATTGGACTGTATTTTGCAATTTGGAACTATAAATTCTGGCTCTTCTGAGAAAACACTAATGTGCATAGGGATACTATCACATTCATTGTTTTTAAACCGAGCTAGAATTTATAGTTCCAAATTGCAAAAAGTAGTTCAATTTATGCGATCACACCTGTCGCGTTGTCAAGGAGTTTCTGCAACCCTACAATTAATTACTAAAATTATTAAATAATTTACAAATGATTTTTGACTTCATGCCTGAGCTAGTTAGAAATCTATCCTTCAACGAAGTCCATTAAAACAAAATTCGTTCATAGAAATCAATTTCATAACAAAGATTATTCCCGGTTTGGATAGACGCTTTTACTGAGTGGATCGAGTCCTGGATCTTTCACCCATTTAAGTGCTCTCATCGAGCAACTTGTAGACGACACTTTTGAACGAGAGTTGGAATAATTGGATTTAAAGGCGGAAACAAAACGTTGCGCCGAGAAGAACAATTTACGATTCGAGGCCGCTTAGGGCAATCAAGCGGTAATTACGTTCAATTTCACTTGCTCCGAGCTACTTTCAGCTTTTGAAACTACACTTCTCGGCATTTCTCTCAACTTCGGGATCCATCTGCGCTACCTTAATGATTTCCGACGCCGGCCATCGACGGGTCCGACTGAAATTCGACACTGTCAAGTTCAATTACGGAACATCTGCCATATGAAATACGTCAATCGATTTTTCTCACTTTAAAAATATGAAGTACAGTTAGAACGGACTATTGGAGATGATTTTCTTTACAGTGGCCAAATCTCCATAAGGGGCTACGATTTTCAAGTAAAGGGTGTGTACTAAAATTTAACTTCGTATTTTCCTTCAATTTTCCTGATATTTTAGAAGAGATTTCCTGATTTTAGAGACTAGGTAGATTTCAGATTTTTCGCGCGAATAAGTTGACATTCGTTTGGTTTAAAAAATAAACATATTTGATGAATTGAATCAAATGTTTGAAAAATGCTTGAAGCACTCAGAGTTTCCCGATCCATGCCCGATTTTCCTGACATTTCCCTAATAACACGAATTTCCTAATTTTCCGGTGTTTACTGATGGTAGACAACCTGAA